TTTCAATCGTCAACTTCCCTTACTTATGCAGCAATATACCTTTGTCACCTGCATACAGAGGTTATATCTCTCAGTTGATTCGATATGGAAGAGCATACGTAGGAATAATTTCTAAACCGAGGTAATTTATTGACAAACAAGTTGGCGAAGCAAGAATATCAGCGTCTCTTTTAAAGTAATAATTTCATAAGTTCTATGGTCGATACTATGACCTTGTCAGCAAATACAATTTAATTCAACTGCTGAATGGTTTCTGATACTGGTTATTCTAAGCCATTATTTAACAGTCCCTTATTTAACACACTGAGATATCCACGGATTTTCTCAGTTTTTTCTCGATCGTCGTATGTTTAAAAATGTTTTACAAATCTTGCATAGATATCTCATAAAATTGATCTTTCAGGTTTATTTTTTATCGTCTATGAAAAGCAAAGGACTGTCTCAGTATAGTACAAATTATGAGAGAATCCCGACTACATTTGGTCAAATAGTCTGGTCCAAATTTTCACGAATGTGGTCTTAATTCTCTTGCTTATTACATTTTTTTACTCTATTTACTTTCTAGATAATATTTTCACCAAATATTTAACAAAGTCCTGTCCTTACACATGATTCCCTAACTTGCTTATAATTACTTTGCACTTAGTTTATTTGCTAATGAACCAGGCCCAGAGCAAAATATTTTATACGAAATAATGTATTTTACTATTATAATAAATAAAACTCCCACCAAACCGCTTTTTCCTAGATCATAAATTCGAAATTCTTCAAATATTATTTTTAGCAGGTATCCCTTATACTACCATCAGCAGAACACCTGACCCTGGAATCATAATTTTTTATTTTATTTTGGAAGAGACACCCTTACTTGTGTATACCTAGTTTATCTGCTAAATGCACAGAAGTGAAGATTTTTAAAAGAATTTATGCATTTGTATCCCCATCACACATTTTCACTATACGATCGGGGGGGGGGGGGGGATTGTTTAATTCTCAGGAACCCTTTACCCTGAAACCATGAAGGGTTCAATACTTATTTTAATCATTACAAAGTTCAAATGATTGATGTCCGGGAGTAAAATATTTTTTTTTGTTAAAAAAAATGCATTAAAATTTATGGTACTAGTCTCATTCCTTTGAATCCAGAAGGTCAAAGACCACGAAATCCACACTTTTCGGTCTCCTCTACTCATGAATGTTTTAGGGGGGGAGATTGAAATTGATCCAGAAGCTGATAATGTTAAATAAGACAATGCACGATGACGGACGAAACAAAAAGCAATAGGTGTCTCAGAGGCTTGAAAAAGAAGACACATTAAAGATTTTTAGACTTGAATTGAAGGTTAAAAGCAGTGATGTTAATATAGATTTCTGTGATTACGTTTTATACATGATGCAATAATGTATGTAAAGTTAATCTTATGTGCAAACATGCTGTAATGTTACAATGTAATTCTTCGTGGTGGTAAAGTATATATAGTGTCAAAATCTTATATACAGTACATTGACTTTAGCAAAAGTCACAGATTTTATAATAACAATTCAGTGGATTGTATCATCTGTACGCGTAACATTATAAGAACTATTGTTTTTCTTTTGACCCGTTTGCACTTTTGACATAATGTTTTTAAATATAACTTTTTCTTGCTACAGAAGTATTACTTTAAAAAGGAATCATGCCAATAAATGTGTTAAATGTTAAAATTTTGGGCTCTTTTATTTTAGTTTTCTGTATAATCAATATTAATTTGTGATAATAAATTAATGTTATTTATATTCACTGTGTCAAATTTTCTTCATAAAACGGCTATACATAAAATTTATTTCTGAAAAGAAAACCTATTTCTAAAAATGTATTTCTCAATCACTTCAAACTATTTTATATTTGATTTTGTGTTGTTGATGAAAATTAATGTTGAGAATATTACATTTTTTAAAAATAAATTTACATCAAAAGGTTGCATTTGGAACCCATTAGAGGAAACCAAAATTCTAAACATATCTCAGATTTATTCGTAAATGCTTCGATATAGTTTCTAATTTTTTTCATTTTTATATTGTTGCTATAAATGGCAGAGTTACGTATTTGTATTCATATATTCAGCAGAATTAATTAAAAAACTTGTTCATGAGAAGAACTTGCTGTGACCTCAAAATACGAAATTTAGATATATCGAAGACATACACGTATTAGGTATTCATATGTCGATACGATATATCCCAGCGAACTTGAAATAAAAGATACCACAAAGTCTGACATATCTGTTTCATATTTGAATATTTTATTAGAAAAAGACGTCTTATAATGGTCATCTAACAACCAAGCTTTGTTAGAAATGTGATTACTTTAACTTTTCAATTGTCAACTTCACTTACCTATGCAGCAATATACCTTCATCACCTGTATACGGAGTTTAGGCCTATATCTTTCAGATGATTCAATACGTAAGAGAGTGCTCTACGTTATGTACAATTTCTAAATAGAAGTAAATTATTGACAAGCAAGTTGATTAAACAAGAATATCAAAAGTCTCATTTAAAGTAATCATTTTTAAAGTTCTATGCTCGATATTATGACCTTGTCAACAAATACAATTTACTAGTATCATCGAGTCAAATGCTGACTGACGTTTTTCATACTTATTGTTTGGCCATTATTTACACACTGAATTGTAAATAGATTTTTTCCGTTATTACCCGATCATGACGAGGAGTACACGGCGGGTGTGACTGGTGGGTAGGGGATACTCGCTCTTCCGTGGCACCTGATCCCACCTCTGATGTTTTAGAGGTTCATGTTCGCTCTGCTCCTAATATGTACATCTTGTTTGAATGGACTGAATACTGTTTCTATATCCATATATTTCATAAAGCTGATCATATGAATCCAAAATTAATTATTAAAATAGAAAATTTCGTGTTATGTTTGTGGGAAGACAGTACATAACATGTGTGCTTACTGTTATTTTATCTCCTCTCGGGCAGTTCTAGCTATTTTAAAGGCCCCCACTTGCTCTGCTCACAGACAGTATTGTCTCAGTAAACTTTGGAGCCTGGTTACTTTTCATATCTTTATATTTCATGCGCATGTAGTGATCCTTGATTTATTTAAAGAATTTATATGGTTGCACACCATTCAGATACGCCCCATAATATGATTTTGCGCTACAGTGGAATATCTTTGTATACTAGAATGAAAGTCAACTGTTGTGGCCATCATGCTGTTATAATTAAAAATAAAAAAGTATTCAATATTTCACATATTGGATGAAACGGTTAATTCAGGGTTAGAAAAAATGAGTAGACAATATGTATCATTTCGCCCGAGAGGAGTCAACATAAGAGTAAGCATACATGTTATGCACTGTCTTCCCACAAATTTTTATTTAAATAAGAAAATTTGGTGTTATGACATAACACCAAATTTTCTATTTTAGTAAAAATTTGTGGGAAGACAGTACGCTTAAATATTTCAAGGAAGATTTTCTCCCCAGTGCCTCTTTTCAAGGCGCGGAACCTATCTTATATCTACACGTATATATGTTTTGCTTAAAGTCAATATAAATTCATGTAAATCATCAGCGATCGCGCGTCTTCTGTTTGCATGCTCGTCAATCATCAAAAGTAAAGAAATGATCACAAGAGTCATTCTTGGTTTAGTTGATGATTAACTGGCATAAATAACGGAATAAAGACACACGGGAAAATTAAATCCCTCATTGCATGTCTTCTAGGAAAAATCAAATTCAAATCTATATATACAATGGTATAGTCAAAACAGTAAGCTAAATATTACATGCATCATAATGTTGGGAGAATTCAATATGTTTTTGCATTCGGTTGTGTAGGCAAAATACTATAGTAGAGTTAAAAAAATTTGATTGGCTCGTACTCGAGGAAATCTGTAAGATTTTTTTTTTCAATCTGCTGTCAAACATATCAGGAGAAAATTAATTCAGTTGACCAATGTGTTCTATGGAATTTTTTTTCCTATCATTTTGAATGTTTATTGATGAAAGTATGAAATTATACAAGTGCATTTTAGAGTTATCTGAAAATATGTTTTACGTCTGCAATTTTTTTAATCTTACAAACGGGAACAACTTCTACTCATCTGTTTAGTTTCTTAAAGCATATTTTTCTACAGTGCATCAACTTTTCAGTACTTATAATTACATAAATTCTTAATTTCCGAAAAAAAAAATTATTACAGAAACTGTAAATGGCAAGGATATAAAAGGTTTGGAGATACGAAAATTCTTGAATAAAAAAGGTGAGGATAACGAACATGCATTGATCGATCTCAGAAAATCTACAAACAAGGTATCTAACACGGACACCCAAAAAGTCTTGAGGTTGGATCAGGTGCCGAGGAGGAACAAGCTTCCCCTGTTGACCGTCATACCTCCTGTGAGTAAATCAGGTAGACGGGACATTCTGTGGTCAAAATTATTTTATTTAGTCGCGGGCGACTTGAAGAAGCGTTGTCTACTTGGTACATCTGATGTCAGTTGATTCTATAGACTGTATAGGCCTAGAAAATCCGTACATTTTGATGCTCTTTAGTTGACGTATAAAAAGTATTGAGTTTCAGAGATTTTATAATTTACCAAAAGATCTATCATGTGGAGTATTATAATTTACACCACTTCTTGAATATTTTGAAACACAATCCAATACACCTGAACGTCTGAAGGTTTTTCTTCACAGTAGTTAATAATTTGGTGTGGATTAAGGATATAGGCCTGGAACTAAGAAGGTTGGTGGATAAAATGGTTTGATCTTCTAAAACATCCCCCCTTTTTTTCCATCAACCGTGATTTGACTAATGACTAATGATTATTTTTGTCTTTGTTTTCGATGGGCATGACCCTTCCTTCAAACATTGTTTTTATCTCCCTCAACAAAAGATAATTACTGAAAAGTGGCCAGTGAATTGAAAAAAAGTTGTCTGTTGAGTGCTCTTCAATTTATCCCGGATTCACGGAATTATAAAACCGGGTCGTTTTTAGTGTTTACTGACTATAATTCTATTTCCTGTATGCTACCGATTGAAAATTTATCACCTCAAAGTTATTTTTATTGATTAATGATAACAAAATAGGTAAGACATAACGATTTCCTCGAAATTAAAGATAGTGTGTGTGTTCCGATCAAGACTACTTTTTATTGCATTAATGATAACGTTTTTTGAAAGGAAACGCCTTTCTCCTTCCGGGAGTTTACCGGAGTTCGTTAATCCCGGGACACTTTGATTACATATACTGGAAATGACATTTTATGAAATGATGTTAAAATTAAAACCACTCGAAATACGTTAGATGTTGTCTGTACCACGTGTGCCTGTTATTTTAGGTCATTTTCATAGACACACCCACAACCACCCTATCATTTAAAAAATAAGTTTATATATTGATTTCGAGGAAAGAAATAAAGTTATATGTTAATCCTTGTGGAAATTTCAGAAATATTTTTATTAATTTTGTCTATGTGGGAAGGAAGGAGAGAATATTTAATGTCTATTAATGAAGAAAGGAATCTAAATACTCCTGAATAATGTTTCACTTGTACATGTTGTAGTATATATTTATATTCTGTTTTAATAAACTGAAAAATGATAGCACTTTGTATTCTTACATTTTTTTTCAAAACAGAAATGAGAAAAGAAAATTAAATCATTTGTACATCGAACATATAATGAAGAAAAAAATCATTCAAAATTTGAAAGAAAAAAATAATTTTTTAACTTAAAGAAACTGAACATTTTCATTTCTCATTTTTTAAAAAATAAGTTGTATGATATTTCATAATTTTAATGATAACAATTCTGTGTTAAAGTTAAGAATTTATTCAAGTCCAAAAATAAAAAACAATAAAAAACAGCAGTTTAACACAAAAAATGTAAGAGAGTGAACATGCATAGACAAATTCACACACATTTCATCTTCGACGTCTCCTCCCACTTTTTCATCAAAAGTCAAATAAACTGTTCACTTTTTCGTGAGCAGGAAATCTACACTTTTTTCAATGAATGGCATTGTAGCTTTTGACTGAATTATATTCATGAGTAAATTTTGAATTCAAATGTGATATTTACAAGTAAATGATTTGAATCATTTCATAAAAGCAAGAATTAAGGAACAAAAAAATAATTTTTCTCATCTTTGTTGAATGGTGTATATTATTTAATATTACTTCTAGTGTCAGAAAACAAGAAAAATGTTTGGGTTGAAATTAAAAATTTTTACAGGTGATGATGAAATTATTTTTAAATTAAACCAATTTGGTAAGTGTACATATACTGAATTTTTATAGGTTACCACACAAGTAATGTTTTCAAACATTTAATAATCATTATTATAAGATTGTGAGCACAATCTGTGTATAAAAAAATGATGTTGATTTTTGTTATTTTTTTTTTATAGTTAAATTCCACCATGGAAAAAGACAAAAAGGGAAAAGGACAAAAAAGTTTTGTAAGTTGATATAGTACTTTCTCAAGACATGATACTCAGTTTAGTTTTAGTTGATGCATTTTGAACATGAATAGACAAGGTCACTTATAATATAAACCCCTTTGTGAACTTGAATGTGCAATTGACTGTATATGCATTGATATATAAGGACTTATAAATGTACTTATCAAGGACAAGGCTACAATAAAAGAGATAAAAGATGAAGATTACCAAAATATTTGCCTCAATATCAATAAATCATTGCTTTGTGCTTTAAAAATATCAATAAATTTTAAGATCTTTGAATATTTGACACATGTAACTATATATGCCATAGATTTTTTAAACATGCTATACATACACATAACATGTTCAGTCAGTATAATGTTTTCAATAGTTTCATCGCCCAAAGAAGAAAGATGAGAAGGATAAAAAGTCTAGCAGCATGCACGGGATGACTGAGGGAATAGCGGGGATGGCTATGGAGACCATGACCCAGTGGCAGGTTAACGAGCGCTTCGAGCAGATGCTGGTGAGGATTTAGTGTTCTACGCTGAAAATTTTATTTAGTGTAAAATGTTTGTGTTGTATTGATATTGCTGCAGTAGTGGAGTAGGTGCAAATATTGGCTCAGACTTGACACCTTAAAATCATGTACTGTTTCTTTATTGATATTTTGACACTCTATAAAATCTTTATTGCAGATTTATGCATTGTTTGCATATTGATGTTTTTTTTTTAATTCTTTGAGTGGGATAACAAATCTCAATAGTAAATGTTAAAAAATAAACTAAATTACATAATACATACCACATTTCCATTTTGATCATGCTATTTAATACCCCCCCCCCCACACACACACACAAATGAACCCACCCCCACCCACCAAAAAATTATGAAAAACATTGAAGAAGATCAAGGAATAAGAGAAAAACATCTTTACAGCTTAAAAAGGAAGACATTCAGCAAGAAATATTGACTGTTTGGTTTTTAGCTCTACTGGTCAGAGACCAGAAGAGTTTATGCGATAGTAATGCGTCACTGCGTCTGCCAGTAAAGTCTGTAAACAATTTTTCAAAACGCTACTCCTCCTACAATTTTAGTCTGATTTCAATATTACTTGGCACAAAAGTAGACTACACTAAGATACATAGAATAGTGCATCGATTTTTGATTTCGATGAACGGTGTTGCCATGGTTACTAAAAATAGAATTTTCTGTGAAATTCCTTAAAAACGCTACTTCTTCTACAGTTTTGGTCTGATTTCAATATAACTTGGCACACAAGTGGACTACACTAAGATACATAGAATAGTGCATCAGTTTTTGATTTCGATGAACGATGTTGCCATAGTTACTAAAAATAGAATTTTCTGTGAAATTCCTTTAAAATATATTCTAAAAATTTGGTCTGATTTCAATATAACTTGGCACACAAGTAGACTACACTAAGATACATAGAATAGTGCATCGGTTTTTGATTTTGGTGAACGGTCTTGCCATGGTTACTAAAAATAGAATTCTCTGTGAAATTCCTTTAAAACACTACTCCTTCTACAGTTTTGGTCTGATTTCAATTGAACTTGGCACACAAGTAGACTACAGTAAGATACATAGAATAGTGCATCAGTTTTTTATTTCGATGAACGGTGTTGCCATGGTTACTAAGAATAGAATTTTCTGTGAAATTCCTTTGAAACGCTACTCCTTCTACAGCTTTGGTCTGATTTCAATATAACTTGGCACACAAGTAGACTACACTAAGATACAAAGAATAGTGCATCGATTTTTGATTTTGATGAACGATGTTGCCATACTAAAAATAATATATGTGAAATTCCTTTGAAATATCTTCTTCTAAAGTTTTGGTCTGATTTCAATATAACTTGGCACACAAGTAGACTACACTAAGATACAAAGAATAGTGCATAAGTTTTTGATTTCAATGAATGGTGTTGCCATGGTTACTAGAAATAGAATTTTCCGTTAAATTCCTTTAAAACGCTACTCCTTCTACAGTTTTAGTTTGATTTCTAAATTTTTACACACAAATATATACACAAAGAAACTTAAAATAGTGCAATGGTTTTTGAGAAGTACAAACCAGTAGAGCTACAGTCTCGACAGAGACTTCTGGTTATTATTTAATTATTCTATTTTTCAGGACAACTTAAACTTAACAGAAGAAAAAAAGGCACCACTAAGAAATAAAGGCATAGAGGAGAAAAAGGCAATGTTAAGAATGCAGTTCAATGTTGACAATGTATGTACACAAAAATAACCATGTTGCGAATACAGTTTGATACCATAATAATTATATATGTACAAATATCAAAATGAAACCTTTTTGTGAGACAATGTGCATTTTAAAATGTTAAGTTAGGTATTTTCCAGAGCATGTTAAGTCACTTGTGCGGTGCATTGAAGTTATGTTTAAGTTAAAAAAAAGGTTTATTTATTTTATACAATTACCACAGTTTACTGAGATAATTGTGAAATTATCCCAGAATCGCAGGACAGTTAAGGTGCGCAATGGAAATATTGACTAAATTTTGTATTTAAAAATGTATTCGTAATTGGGATGACGATTATTCTTAGTACATTATTTATATCAGAGAACTGTAATTATGATTAATAACTACATATCGAGGACGATTATATTTTATATTTAGACTAGTCACGTGATGCGGCAATCACGCGATTTTAGCACATCGACTTAAAGTATTGATGTTACATATAAATATCACTAGTGCAAGGGCATAACCAAATTAAATTTCCACGTTTAGTATATAAATATTTTCAACACGCATTGTGGTATCTTAAAAGTGCTGCCCCCCCACACACACACACAAAATTATACTTGTACCCCCGTATGCTATATATTTTGCTGGTCAGCGGCAAAAAATTGATATAATTAAATTGTTTTTAAGATTTCATCAGGATCGAAGCACTTTTCAGATACCTTAATAGTTATATAGTTGAAATGTAAAAGCTATTGATCTGTTATGCCCTTCACTTAATCGATTTATTTTTCAGGACCCTCCGAACTTACATACAAATATACGGCAGTGTCAAAAAATACGCAATGTACAGAAAATATATTAGTAAAATAGTGAAGAAGACATTAAATTCAAGTTATTGTATAGTAATATATGTAAACAATATTTTATTTAATTAGAGAATACATATATTTGTCAAATATCAAATATTAAACCTTTTCTCTCACTGCATACAAACTGTGCATTTTAAAATGTTAAGTCATATTGACAAGTGTATTGCGATCAGTGACTTGTTTATAACTTGTTAAAAAAAACAACATGCTGTTTTTTTATGTTATTTTAAATACATATTGTGTATGATGTCCACAGTTTACTGAGATAATTGTCAGATTATCACAGAATTTTATTTCATATGAGGGAGGGAAGTTCAAAATCTTAAAATACTATATTAAAATTAGAAATTAATTGGAATCATTCATGTTTTTTTCAGATTGATGAACATACTGATAATCCAAGTACATTTCTGGCAAAGTTAAAGAACCCAGAATTACAAGGTGATGAGAGACTGGACATTCTAAAGTCCCTAAAGGTCATGTTAACAAGTAAACCAGTCAGGTAAGCACCCCCCCCCCCCCCCCCCAAAAAAAAAAAAATTAAAAAATAATGGGAAATGAGAGACTAGAAATGTTCAAAAGTTTTAAATATAATGCAGCAAGACATTTTTCATATTCAGAAATTCTTCTATAGTGAGATACATGTATTTTTTTTCTTGATGATTATTTTATTGACTTTCTTTTATGTTGCTATGATTTTTAGCTGGGTTAAAGAATTTGGTGAGGACGGTCTCAATATGTTGCTCAAGCATCTGGTACATTGCTGTAATAGGTAAGTTACAATCATTATCTAGTATTTCTGAAACTTATTCAATGCATTATTTTTATATCTCATATGTTGTACTGGTAGTCAAACAGATAAAGTAGAATGTAGATATACATGTACATTTTTTATAGTATGCCCACTACATATTTGTTAAGAGTATATGTAGAATTAAAAATTTATTTATATTGCTTTAAAAAAAGTAGATTAATATATAACAAAAATTCTTCCTTTAGGTACATGTTTGTATTATTTGTCCACATTTTTAAGCTACATAATGTTGTCAAGAACAACTAGAGCTGCAAGACACATTACGAGTCAAGTTAAATGTTGTGGAGGGGGCAGTGTTTGAAATAACCATGCACCCAACCGCCCGAGACACGCAAATTTTGTTACGGGCAAACAGATTTGCATGTATCAATGCCCAGCTGGACGTGTAAATTTTTTCCATAAATTAAAATTTAGATATTTGATAAAACTCTCTCAAATCAACTAATATAACTGGCTTCAAAGAGTTACAAGCAAACGGGTAGAATTCTTCAGCCTGTAGGTCCAGGATCCAATATATTAGCAAGCTGGCCCCATTCACATTACTGCTAAAATGAACTTTTATAAGAGAATTGTTTTTATTTTTCGGGCTAGTACATTTTTGGCAGGGCTGACGACTTTCACTAGCAATCAGCTCTGCATGTCTAGCTAATTTTACAGTGAGTTTCAAACACTGGGAGGGGGTCACACTATATTTATATTTGTATATATGTGTTGTAAATATAGATGCACCAAGAATATGAGGGGTGGATCAGGTCTTAAAAGAGGTGAATTGATTATGAATTCCATCTATACAGTCAGTTTAGATACTGGGAAGTTCATTTGCTGCCTCCAACTCATAGAGAAACCTGTGATTATGATGGCAATCAGTGGTATTATTGTAGACTTCAAACCAATGCAAACTTACATTAAATTACAAGGATATTAGTATGATACAACATAAAGAAAGTTTCAAATTCCAATTTTTAATGATTTTGAGGGAAAATGATAACTTAGCATTACTAGTTTCCATCTTTTGAAATAATGAGAAGAATGAAAATATCAGTGACAGCTTTGATTACAGAATCTGAGGGTTCTCAAGGGTGGGGATGGGTATGTACGTTGCTTGTTTGCAAGTTGGGCAAGGCTATTTACTCAAATTCAAATACATGTAGGTAGAGGTCCTTGGTTTCCACTTTATTTTTTATCATGCCTATATACACAAGTATTTATAGAATGTGATTGAGCACTTGAAGATCAATATTTCAGATTAAAATACACTAATGGCATTTGTTGTTGTGACTTAATGCATTTAATGGTTCAGGAAAATGTAATGTAGATTTATGTTATATATTGTTTGAACACAGAACAAAAGAAACGATGAGGTAGAAATTGCTCATTTGTCAAATTAAGTAGCTTTATCAATTTTTAATCTCTTCTTTATGAATTTTGATAGAAATAATTTTCTTGAATGCCTTTGATCCCAGTTTAAAGCAAATCATTCAAAAAATTGATGAAGCTACTGAAAGCTTTTAGAGAATGGATTGTTTCTCCCTTCCTGCTTTGGCTTACATTATACACCTTTAATGATATACAGATTATTGGCTGGATTTCTTTTTTTTCTCAGCATGCTATACCTGTTTGTTTCCCATTAAAGGAAGCAATATAAATATTTATCAAGTGCATCTTGTAATGAGGAAGTCAGACCATTGTGGTAGATATCTCAGTACAGCATGTTACTACAATTATAAGCAGCATGTCTGTATATACTGGGGTTTTATATCCAATAAATTCAGGCTTATATCTCTGTAAACATGTCTTTCTCTTGAGATCACAAACAATATTCAAGCTCAAAAGTAAAAAAAAAAAAATTACACAGATTGGGAGCAGAGCAAACATGGATCTCCAAAACATCAGGATCAAGTGCCATGGAGGAGTGAGCATCCCCTGCCGACTGGTCACACCTGCTGTGTGCTTCTTGTCATGATCGGGAAATAAAGGAAAAATTTGTTGACAATTCAGTGTGTAAATAATGGTCTAACAATTAGTCCCAGAAAAATCGTTAATCAGCATTTGAGTAAGTGATAAATTGTATTTGCTGACAAGATCATTGTATTGACCATAGAACTTGCGAAATGATGACTTGAAAGGAGATTCCTGATATTCTTGTTTCATCAACTTGTTTGCCAATAATTTACCTCGCTTTAGAAATTTTTCATAAATAGAGCATGCTCTTGCATATCAAATCAACTAAGAGATGTAAACCCCATATGCAGGTGATAAAGGTATATTGCTGCATACAAGATACAAGATTTTATTAGTCCAGTTTGGCCACCATAGGAGCAAAAAAGATTTACAAACATGAAACAACAACAACAAAAAACATCCAAAAGATAGAACAAACCTGATCTTGCATATAATGAGAGCATTGCATAATATTTTATACAGGTAGTCATGAAAAATGCATCTACAAGAGAAATACTAAATATGCATATTGTATTTTAATATTATACAATATTATTATATATTAAGTTATAATTATTATAATACATATATATAGTCAAGTATCTGGAAGAAATACATAATTGTATATTATATATGCATATCAAGGAACAAAAAAGATGATATACTAGCATACATATAAATCCCAAATACATTTATATTAATTTTTTTAGTTAAGATATGTTATAAAGGAATCTAGCAATTGATCTTAGAATGTCAGGGTCTTCATTAGTTGTGAGCCAATGGAATCGATTTTCATAAGATAGAAACTGAAATTTTACATTTATTATTACAAATATTTATGAGTTCAAATCTTAATAAGTAAGTAAGGGAAGTTGACAATTGAAAAGATAAAATCATTAGGTTTACCATGAAGCTTGGTTTGTTAAATTACCATTTAGAGTAGCATTTTTTCAAGTAAAATATCCAAATATGAAACAGATTTTTCAGAGTCTATGGTATCTTGTATTTCAAGTTCACCGGGATATATTGTATCAACATAAAAATATAAAATTAAAAAATACAGTAGTTATCTAGCCAATATTTCACACCCAAGCCAGGTAATCATCTCTTGAGTTTGGGATGAGATTGAATGCAGATTAAGGCACACACGTAGGATACATTTTGATGTAATGCTTTATTGATTCCATAAACTCATATCCTTACACATTTTTTCATGGGTTCAAATTTTCGAGGTTTGAGGAAAAATATATTGGTTTATGGAGATTTGATTTTGTGGTTACAAAATGTTTAGTAGTAATTTAATGCATATGAAATTTTACATTTGGTGGTGGTGATAAATTCATGGATCTTTCCATACATACGAAAGCTACAAAAGTTAACCCGCCATGATAAATAAGTGATTTCACTGTACATCTTTATTTGAATTAGGACACAATTAACAAGCATCTCTTTGAATAAAGACTTAATGTAAGCATGGTAATTAGAAGACCTCCATTAAATGTTAACTTTTGACAGTTTTTTTGCTTCTCAGTTTGACTGATCATTGGAACTTGCAAAACAATGTTTATCCTAGCAGGGAGTGGGGTGGGATGCTACAATCTTGTTTGACAATTTCAGACATTTGTTGTCATGTTCTGTACCAGTGCTAAGTAAATCAATAACCATTAAGAAGTTCCATTGTCATCTCAGCATTTTGTTTTAGTTTCACTTTATTTTAAGGCATTTGAATGTTGCATTAATTAAGTTTTAAATCAAAAAGATAATTAGATTGCTCATTAAATGAGGATAAAACCTAGCAGAGTAAAAAGCATTTTGACATCGATGGCCATTAAAATAGGACAGGCTATTAATGACATTGCAAGCAGAATCAGGGAAAACAAAGGACAATGTTTATTACTGATACTTTTGAAAAGAATTGCTAATTTGGGGGAAATTATTCCTGGGATATATAATTCAAAATTATTCAGAGTTTTGAATAAAGTAATAATAGGAAATAAAATCAAAAACTTATTTACATTAGCTCTTTTGAGCCTTTCGGTGCAAGGAAGGCAATTAATGGTGTTTTAATTTTCATTATGCATGTTTTGTATTCTTAGCAATGAGGACATCTTTATATAGCATCTATACACTTTTTATTTATTTATTGTATGAATATTCATTACTTAACTATTATTTACATATATATCACAGACGTAAGTTTCTGATATATAAATCACATATAAATCAGAGGTATATTCACCCTAATCCAGAAGGTATATATGTACCCATGGGTCCGTAAACCACAAAATATTATACTATAATACAGCCAAACATCCATTTAGAACAATTTTTTTTTACTTTTATACTCCTTGATTTAAATGTAATAGTGAGTCCAAAGTTTGAAATGAAGTCTTTCACAGGATGTCTTGTTGCAAAATTCTTTTATTACATGTGCATGATGAGAAAAGTTTTTAAGAGACATATAATAAAAACTTATGTCAATTCAGAATTTATATTGCTGTGAAGTAAGATGTTAAATAAGTGCATTAACACAGGGTACTTGTTAATTTGTCTATTTTAGATTAGAACTTTGAGGAATTTCTTATCAGTGTCTGTTTTTTTATGTTCCAGGAAAGAAGAAAGACAAAGTCGGCTGGAATGTGTCAAATGTATCAAGGCTTTCATGAATAACACTGTAAGTCCGAGATAACAAAACATGATACAAAATACATAAGACCTAAATTATAACATAATATAAATAACACTGTAAGCCCCAGATTATAAGTTACTGTAGGGCATATTTTACCAAGTGGTATGAAAACAGTAACTATCCGTGATTGGACTATCAGGCATTGTTAAGTAAGGAACAAACACTGCATTCTACAGAACCAGATGTAAGTGTATAACACACTTGGTAATAAATGTATCCTTCATTGTTATCTTTTTTAGCTCACCTGAGCCGAAGGCTCAAGTGAGCTTTTCTGATCACATTTTGTCCGTCGTCCGTCCGTGTGTCTGTCCGTAAACTTTTCACATTTTCGACTTCTTCTCAAGAACCAATGGGCCAATTTTAACCGAACTTGCCACAAAGCATCCTTGGGTGAAGGGGATTTAAGTTTGTTCAAATGAAGGGCCACGCCCTCATTCAAGGGGAGATAATTGGGAATTAATGAAAATTTGGTGGTATGTTTTAAAAATCTTCTTCTCAAGAACCACTGTGCCAGGAAAGATGAAACTTATGGTGAAACATCCTCAGGTAGTGTAGATTCAAATTTGTTCAAATCATGTCCCCTGGGGGTAGGGCGGGGCCACAATGGGCGACCAAAGTTTTATACAGAAATATATGGGAAAATTCTTTAAAAATCTTCTTCTTAAGAACAGCAAAGCCATGATTGCCCATATTTATATGGAAGCATCCCCAGGTAGTGTAGATTCAAGTTTGTTCAAATCATGACCCCCGGGGGTAGGGCGGGGCCACAATGGCCGACCAAAGTTTTATATAGAAATATATAGGAAAATTCTTTAAAAATCTTCTTTTCAAGAATAGTAAAGCCATAATTCCTCATATTTATTTGGAAGCATCCCCAGATAGTGTAGATCCAAATTTGTTCAAATCATGACCCCTGGGGGTAGGGCGGGGTCACAATGGGCGACCAAAGTTTTATATAGAAATATATAGGAAAATTCTTTAAAAATCTTTTTCTTAAGAACAGCAAAGCCATGATTGCCCATATTTATATGGAAGCATCCCCAGGTAGTGTAGATTCAAGTTTGTTCAAATCATGACCCCTGGGGGTAGGGCGGGGCCACAATGGCCTACCAAAGTTATATATAGAAATATATAGGAAAATTCTTAAAAATCTTCTTCTCAAGAACAGCAAAGCCATAATTGCTCATATTTATATGGAAGCATCCCCAGGTAGTGTAGATTCAAGTTTGTTCAAATCATGACCCCTGGGGGTAAGGCGGGGCCCACAACGGCTGACCAAAGTTTTAGATAGAAATATATAGGAAAATTCTTTAAAAATCTTCTTCTCAAGAACCACTGTGCCAGGAAAGATGAAACTTATATGGAAGCATCCTCAGGTAGTGTAGATTCAAGATTGTTCAAATCATGACCCCCGGGGGTAGGGCGGGCCAAAATGGCCGACCAAAGTTTTACATAGATATAAATAGGAATTTTTTTTAAAAATCTTCTCAAAAATTGCAAAGCCATAATTGATCATATCTATATGGAAGCATCCTCAGGTAGTGTAGATTCAAGTTTGTTCAAATCATGACCCCCGGGGGTAGGGCGGGGCCACAATGTTACATAGAAATATATAGGAAAATTCTTTAAAAATCTTCTTCTCAAGAATAGTAAAGCCATAATTGATCATATTTATATGGAAGCATCCTCAGGTTGTGTAGATTCATGGTTGTTCAATCTTGACCCCTGGGGGTAGGGCGGAGCCACAGTGGACGACTAAAGTTTTACAATTAGAACTATATAGGAAAATTCTTTAAAAATCTTCTTCTCAAGAAAAGCAAAGCTATAATTGATCATATTTATATGGAAGCATCCTCAGGTAGTGTAGATCAAGTTTGTTCAAATGATGACCCCCGGGGGTAGGGTGGGGCCAAAATGGCCAACCAAGTTTTACATAGAAATATATAGGAAAATTCTTTAAAAATCTTCTTCTCAAGAATAGCAAAGCCATGATTGGTCATGGGACTACTTTAAGATTTAAACTTTTCAATAATAAACCAATTTCTATTTTTTCCTAGCGACAGTGCTCAGGTGAGCAATGTGGCCCATGGGCCTCTTGTTCTCTGTCCTCAGTTTGGCCTGACTACAATGTTTAGTTTATGTGTCTAATTCCATTGTTTTCTGTCCTCAGTTTGGCCTGACTACAATGTTTAGTTTATGTATCTAATCCTCCTTTTTTCTGTCCTCAGTTTGTCTAATCCTCCATCATTCTCTTTTTTCTCTGTTCTTAGCTTGTCCTGACTACAATGTTTAGTTTATGTATCTAATCCTCAATCTTTCTCTTTTCTCTGTCCTTAGTTTGGCCTGACTACAATGTTTTTGTATCTAATCCTATTTTTTTCTGTCCTTAGTTTGGCCTGACTACAGTGTTTAGTTTATATATCTAATCCTCCTTTTCTCTGTCCTCAGTTTGGTCTGACTACAGTGTTTAGTTTATTTGTCTAATCCCCCTTTTTTCTCTGTCCCCAGTTTGGCCTGACTGCAATGTTTAGTTTATTTGTCTAATCCTCCTTTTCTCTGTCCTTAGTTTGGCCTGACTACAGTGTTTAGTTTATGTGTCTTATCCCCCCTTTTTCTCTGTCCCCAGTTTGGCCTGACTGCAATGTTTAGTTTATGTGTCTTATCCCCCCTTTTTTCTCTGTCCCCAGTTTGGCCTGACTGCAATGTTTAGTTTATGTATCTAATCCTCCATCATTATTCTCTGTCCTCAGTTTGGCCTGACAACAGTGTTTAGTTTATGTATCTAATCCTCCTTTTTTCTGTCCTCAGTTTGGCCTGACAACAGTGTTTAGTTTATGTATCTAATCCTCCTTTTTTCTGTCCTCAGTTTGGCCTGACAACAGTGTTTAGTTTATTTGTCTAATCCTCCATCATTCTCTTTTTTCTCTATTCTTAGCTTGTCCTGACTACAGTGTTTAGTTTATGTATCTAATCTTCCTTTTCTCTGTCCTCAGTTTGGCCTGACTACAATGTTTTTGTATCTAATCCTATTTTTTTCTTTCCTCAGTTTGGCTTGATTACAATGTTTAGTTTATGTATCTAATCCCCCTTTTTTCTCTGTCCTCAGTTTGTCCTGACTACAATGTTTAGTTTATGTATCTAATCTTCCTTTTCTCTGTCCTCAGTTTGGCTTGATTACAATGTTTAGTTTATGTATCTAATCCTCAATCTTTCTCTTTTCTCTGTCCTCAGTTTGGCCTGACTACAATGTTTTTGTATCTGATCCTATTATTTTCTGTCCTCAGTTTGACCTGACTACAATGTTTAGTTTATGTGTCTAATCCTCCATCATTATTCTCTGTCCTCAGTTTGGCCTGACAACAGTGTTTAGTTTATGTATCTAATCCTCCTTTTTTCTGTCCTCAGTTTGACTTGACAACAATGTTATGTTTATGTGTTTAATCCTCCATCATTCTTTTCTGTCCTCAGTTTGGCCTGATTACAATGTTTAGATTATGTATCTAATCCTCCTTTTATCTGTCCTCAGTTTGGCCTGACTAAGATGCTGGAGAGTGAGGAGGGACTGTCCATCTTGTCCCGTTGTTTGGACCCGACTGACCCAGACACCATGATGTTGTGTGTCAGTATCCTCGCTGCTGTCTGTATCTACGAGCCTCCTTTGGGGTAGGGACCAGCATTTCTTATCCTCTGTCATACAAAATATACTCGGTAGTGTCATCTGCAAATTTAATTACCAGTAGTTTCTTAGTGTGTCACACTGATCTAAATGTTAAATAATTCAAATATTTACATTAATTTAAACCATGCTTACATGATGCACCTTGACCTATTAGTACTTGTAATTTTTTTAGGCATGAGAAGGTGTTGGAGGGTCTTGCGGTCAGTGCTGAGATGAAGAACATGGACCGGTTTGACATGATAATCACGGGTCTGGGTATGAGGATTAACCTCCCGCTACAGGTCGGCTGTATGCAGCTGGTGAACGCCATCATCTGTACTCCTCACAACCTGGACTTCCGCCTCCACCTTAGAAATGAATTCATGAGATGTGGACTGCGAGATTTAATAAAGGTGAAAAAAAAATTATAGTGCCAGTAAAGGGCACCTTTTATGCCTACAGTTTTAATAAGCACTAAAATTGGCTGGATTAGCAACAACATGTCATAATCTACACCAACTGATTCTTATCTTTCAGACTTGATTATATTTTTTTATGATTTTTATTTTTATCCCCTATAAACAGCATTTAGATGAACAAGATAACGAGGAGTTACAAGTCCAGCTGAGGACCTTCCACGATCAGGCCGACGACGACCAAGAGGAGATAATCCAGAGATTTGAACTCACCAAAGTGGATATGTCGTATCCTTATCACAAAACCAAGGAACAGACCAGATGTCATTTTTGACTGCTTTTTAAAACACAAAACAATGATTTTGGTTAAATATAACAGATAAAAAATTTAAAAAGATTTTTTTTATGCTCCAGTTTTAACATGTTCTTGTGTTATAAATAATACACTAAAACTAATTGCTTTCTTGTGACTTTTTCCTATATGGGATCAGAGACCCTGATCATTGCTACGAAATGCTAAAACAACTGAACTCTGCAGATAAAGAGAGTGAGATGTGTTTTCTTTCCATCCTTCAGCATTTGTTGTGTATACGAGATGACTTTTTTGTCAGGTAGGTGTTTCTTTCATTTAGTGCATGTCTCTATGACCTTCATCAACTTCTTACGTGTAGAACAGTTTAGCAGCTACTTGGATACATGTGTATCTATTGTTCTAGCTTCTGTTTGTTTACTGTCATAGCAATGTCTATTTATTTTCAGATTACACTACATTCTAGGTAACGGCATGTGCTATTGTGTTTTGTCAAACTGTCTGATTTACCTTGAAATCAAATTTGTTTAATTTTGACATACATATGTATTGATATTTTGTTTTCTCTGTTTTGAAAAAAAAAATCTTTTGAATCCATGAATTAAGAATGGAAATTTATCCTTGAATGAAATTTTGTAGAGTAGAGATACACATTGTTTGTAGCTGTGTTTCATCTCATCCTTAGACATGCACATGAAAATTGTACATAAACTTTAGATCAAATTTTTGTCTATACTTTAATTTTACAAGATAGTTATTTGATATTTATAAGGTAGACAAAATTTTCACTTAATTTATTATTGTTCTGAAGTCTTTTTTAATGCAAATACATGATAAATACACAAGATTTAAATTTTTATGAGTGGAAATTCTCCCATATTTATGCAAAAATAAAATTAGCATGAATAAAGTGATTTACATTGCATACATATACTGTACATTGCCTGTTAGTGCATTTTACATGTACAAAATATTTCAATTGATTTGGAATATTCAGAAATAGATACATGTATTTTTAATATTCAATCTTTCCAACAATTTTGGAAGTACATGCTCTACAAAATCATATAGTTATTTACAAGAAAATTAATGCATTCTTGACATTGATGATCAGCATGAATGGAATTGAGTTCCAGTGTATTCCTCTTTAAATGTTGATGTGAAAAAATCCCCATTTTTTTGTCTATGCTCTTTTATGAAACCCAATTGTATTACAGTTAGATGTGACTTTTTTCCTTAAATGTTTTCATAAATGAGAGGCTATATTCTCATAAATCTTTAGAAATAAATACCTGTATAAAAAGAAACCTATGAAAATTAACTACTTCAAAATAAAAGAACATTTACAGGATTTACTAACTTTAACACACAAGGATGCCTTGTGTTTTATCTCTGATGATGCAGGTGCAAATTTTGATTTGCAGCAGTATTAAATGAAGTAAAAAGCAGCACTGTTGTGAAAGCACAGCTACTAGGCTACAAATGTCCTCTAAGTTTACACAGATTTCAATGATCATTCATAATCATCCTTAAATACATGTATTCATTATCCAATGGTCATATTTTGATTACTCTGTAGAATGTATATTTGAATGAAATGAAATGCCCCCTATAGTTGGATGTGTGATTTTATTAGATGATGTAAGCACTGTTTGTTGTTACATTACCCACGCCTCTGTTCTAGGACGGAGTACTACCGGCTGATAGAGGAATGCCTGACACAGATTGTTCTCCACAAAGATGGAGTGGACCCAGACTTCAAGAAAACCAAGAGATTCGACATCAAAATGGAGAAACTGATGAGTTAGAAACACTTCTGATTTTTATTTCTATTCATTTTAAACATTAAATTGAAGCATTAAAATCAAAGTTGATAAATAGCAAGTTGCATTTTTTTTAGTTATATCGCAGATATTCATTTGGTATTGTAACTTGTAAATTTGGATTTTTCTCCACTTGATTGCAAAAAAGAAAAAAAAAGATTAAAATATTTTGATGCTTTCTTGGTTGTAAATTTTGATTTTTTAATGCCTGTTTTGTTTTCCTACAGATGACTTAGCAGACAGAAGGAAAGAGATTTGTGAACTGGAGAAGAAAGTATCAGACCTAACTCCTGCTGCTGAGAACCTCCCTAAACTTCAGGCCCAGCTGGACAATGCTCTGATCGCCAAACAGGAGATGGAGTCCAAGGCCCAGATCATGGAGGAACAGTACCTCACTCAAGTCGGGGAGGCAGAGGAGAAGAAAGAACAGCTGGAGCAGAAGATGAAGGAGCTCGACACTGAGATGAAGTCCCAGATTGCTGAGCTTGAACAGAAAAAACAACAGGCAGAGGATGACCTGCTCAACTTGAGGGCAAACAAAGATAAAGAAATTGCTCAACTGAGAGAACAGGTAAATATTAGAAATAGGATTTTAAAAAAAGGACTTGAGTTGTTAAAAGAAGGGAAGTTTGTCACCAAAAAATTCTCATGTCTACTGTTTCCATGTAAGATTTGGATCCTGCATTTAGACTTAAAGTAAATTCTGATATACAAAATTTAAGTTAGTATTCATTATTTTATCCTGATATTAACCATGATCATAAAAAATGAATTCAGTTGAGAAGGTATGAGAATGTCTTTACTATGAAACTTTTTAATAAAAAAAAGAGCTTCTTCTGTTGTTTCTTAAATTAGAAAGCTGTACAGTAACTCATTTTGAATGAAATTGATTAAGAAATAATATTTAAGTTACTTAGATTATTGTGTGGCATACTCTTTTGTTTTAATAGGTGAGAAGCCGTCCAGCCATGGTCGATAAGGATATTGCCAGACCAGTCAACGTCAAGGGTTCTATCCCAGCTCCTCCTGCTGAAGTGAAGCATGCATATGTACAGACAACAGAAGATCTCCTACCACAAGCACCGCCTACTCAAACTGTAACTCCAGTCTCAGCCCCAGCCCCTCCTCCCGCCCCACCCCCACCACCACTACCCCCAGGGGTCACCATCCCTGCCCCTCCCCCTGCTCCCCCATTACCTGGGGGTGTACCAGCCCCTCCCCCTGCTCCCCCTCCTCCTGGTGGGATAGCACCACCCCCAGCCCCTCCACCCCCTCCAGGCTTATCAGGGGCTGTACCCCCTCCTCCCCCTGCCCCTCCTCTCCCTGGGGGTATTCCTCCTCCTCCCCCACCCCCTCCACCCCCTGGTGGTGCACCAATTCCACCACCCCCTCCCCCACCTCCTGGTGGGGTGCCCCCTCCACCCCCTCCTCCAGGTGGGATCCCCCCTCCACCCCCACCACCTGGTGGAGGTCCTCCCCCACCCCCTCCCCCTGGTTTTCCAGCACCAGGTCCCCCTAAACCTGTTACACCTCAGCTTCCATATGGAATGAAACCAAAGAAAAAGTATGAAGTAAAAGATCAAACCAAGCGCATCAACTGGGAAAAGGTATTTGATGAGTTTAGGTTTACAATAAATATTTTTTATGAAAAATCTCATGAAATTTTGGAAATAAGAACCTAAAAATATTTATTGCTTACTCAATATATACTGTTTGATTGTGTACTTGTTAGTGTATAGAATATTCTTATATTCTAGATACCTTCAAATAAGCTAAAAGAGGACTCTTTCTGGGTAAAAGCAGAAGAAAGCAAGTTTGAGGATGACTTTGTATTTCAAGCTTTAATGGAGAATTTTAGTGTTAAAAAACGTAAGACATCAGAATAATTGTAGTAACTGTATACAGAGTTATTTCTGCCTTTTCAGACTTGAAAACAATTTTGTCATAATTTCCTTGTACCCTGTACCGTCTTTCACATTAATAATGTATATAATTTCAAATATATACCTGGTATTAAAGATCATGTTGTTTTGTATTTTTGTAGCTGTTAAAAAAGATGCTCAGGTTGAAGTAGCCAATGAGAAGAAAGCTAAAAAAGTCAAAGATCTCAGAGTCCTGGATCCTAAGTCCGCCATGAATCTCTGTAAGTTGACTTGAATCTCTGTAAGTCAGCATGAATCATTTATAAGTGTTGTTTACTTCTTGATTTGATAAAGTATTTATTGAGGTTTTTTCTGTCCAGCTATGTTACTGGGTTCTCTGAAGACACCCTACAAGGAAATCCGGAGGAGGATTGTAGAGGTGGATCGGGAGCACCTGACCACGGGGATGCTGGAACAACTCATCAAGTACCTCCCCGAGCCCGAGCAGATCAAAGAGCTCGGGTCACTGAAGGAGGAGTACGATGACCTAGCAGAGGCCGAGCAGTTCATAGCTACGGTGGGTAAAGGTTCATAGCTACGGTGGGTAAAGGTTCATAGCTACAGTGGGTATATTGTTCATAGCTATGGTGGGTATATTGTTCATAGCTACGGTGGGTATATTGTACTACAGTGGGTATATTGTACATAGCTACAGTGGGTATATTGTATATAGGTACAGTGGGTATATTGTACAATGTACATAGCTATGGTGGGTATATTTTACATAGCTACGATTGGTATATTGTCCATAGCTATGGTGGGTATAATGTTCATAGCTAATTTTATGCTTGTTTTATTGTTTTCTTTTTTTATAATGGGAATATAATTTTCCTTGTACATAGCTACAGTGTGTATATTATACATAGCTACGGTTGGTATATTGTACTAAGCTAAAGTGGGTATTTTGTTCATAACTACATTTGGTATGCTGTTTTGTGCTCTATTGTCATATTATAAGTTATGTTAACTATTCAGTCTTGTACTATTTTATGCTTGTTTTTTGTTTTCACACAAAAATGAAATTATTTATGAAAATATAGTGAATATAAAACCCAAATAAGCAAATTTCCTCGGTAGGGTCATTGAAATGATGACATCAAACGTTAATTTAAATACCGATACTAAAAAATCATTAATTTCATGTTTTTTTGTTGTAATAATTATTATAAATTATGTGGAAATGTTTTAGCTATATAATAACCGGTACTGACATTTATTTTGACATTTATTTTGTTAAATGGTTTTATTTTATTCACCAGCATAAGTTTAACTATTTATTTAAACGTTTATTTTGTTTATTGTTGGTATATTTTTTCGTATTTACATGTACAATAAAATTTTCATGTTCATTTACACTACTTTAGTTATATGTAATGTATATGTGTAGATAAGAAATGGGAAAACAGATGCATTCTATTAAAAGAACAAAATTCTATTCTTGTCCCACTGTCCATGCTAATGTTTGGATGGAGTTTAAAATAATGTTGATAACTTGATTTGTGAAAAACTTACTTGTTTGGGAAAACTTTATGTAGGTGATATCTTCTTTATTATATGTAAGATTCACTTTGTACACATGCCTGTCCTATAACTTGATTTGTTAAAAATTAGCTTTTCGCGAGTTCACGTAATTACGGAAAACTTCTTATAAAAAGAGATTTACAGTACATATTTCATATAATTATATGAATCTTGAATTTTCAAGGTTCAAAATACCTGTAAGTAAAAAACAAATATATATGTACTTGTACTTGAATGAACTTGGAAAAAATTGTTTTTTGTTTTGCAGGTAGTCAGTGAGTAAATTATTTAGGCCAATCAAATGTAACACATATTGTTGTACATGTACATGTACCACGGTGTATATTAATTAAGTAGAAATGTTATCAGCATGCTAGAAAGAGGAGTTTATGATATTAACTGAAATGACATCTACATAAATCATTATTGTAAGAACCATTAACAAATTTGTGTTTGGGCACTGATTTAAAATTTTTCTATTTTTGAATGCATATACCCATGAGGTTTTAAATTTTGTAACTGAAAATTTAATACTGGAGATTTTGCAACACATTGTATCATACTGTTTTGCAGCCGAAGTCAGTGAGCTTTTCTGAAATTATTTCTGTCCGTCCATCCATCTGCCAAATGATCTGTCTGTAACTTTTCACATTTTCGATTTCCTGTACACTGTACATTTAACCAAACTTGGTTCCTTGTATTTATTGTTAATCACTTCACAAGGGGAGATAATCAAGGAAAGACAAAAATAGGGTGGGGTCATTAAAAAATCTTCTTCTCAAGAACCACTGTAGATTCTAAATTGTTAAAATCATGACCCCAGGGATAGGGCGAGGCCACAATAGGGAATCAAAGTTTTACATAGAAATATATAGGAAAAAAATTTAAAAATCTTCTTCTCAAGAACCACTGGGCCAGCAAAGCTGAAGCTTATGTGGAAGCATACTGGGGTAGTGTAGATTTTAAATTGTTGAAATTATGACCCCCGTGGAAGGGCGGGGCCACAATAGGGAATCAAAGTTTTACATAGAAATATATAGGAAGAAAATTTAAAAATCTTCTTCTCAAGAACCACTGGGCCAGAAAAGCTGAAACTTATGTGGAAGCATCCTTTGGTAGTGTTGATTTTAAATTGTTAAAATCATGACCCCCGGAAGTTGGACGGGGCCACAATAGGTAATCAAATTTTTACATAGAAATATATTTGGAAGAAACTTTAAAGAACCACTGGGCCAGAAAAGCTGAAACTTATGTGAAAGCCTCCTGGGGTAGTGTATTTTTGTAAAAATTGTGACATGTTGTATATTACAAGGGAGGAAATCTGGTAAAGAATGGCATCACCAAAGTTACTCAGGTGAGCGATGTGGCCCATGGGCCTCTTTTAATTTTTTCCAAAATGGAAATTTTTCATTTGGCAGTCAGGTGCCCAAACTTATTTTATGAACCATACTTTATTTAGTTATGAATGGATAAAAATAATTGTTCTTTATGTGAAGTTGAATTGATATTGTAGTGGAATGTACACACATAGGTAATACACACGCCTAGATATGTATCTATTACATGTAGTTAAGATACACTATGCTGTTCAGGTTAAATGTCATGACATGAGAGGGGTTTTTATCTCACCTGAGGAGGACTCAAGTGAGCTTTTCTGATCAAAATTTGTTCGTCGTCGTCGTCGTTGTCGTAAACTTTTTACATTTTCATCTTCTTCTCAAGATACTGAATTTCAACCAAACTTGCCACAAAGCATCCTTGGGTGAAGGGGATTCAGTTTGTTCAAATAAATTTAGGGCCAAGCCCTCTTCCAAGGGGAGATAATTATGAATTAATGAAAAATTAATGGTATCTTTTAAAAATCTTCTTCTCCAGAACCATTGGGCTATTAAAGATGAAACTGATGTGAAAGCATCCTTAGGTAGTGTACACACATGGTTAGTAACAATGGCTCAAAGTTTCACATAGGAATATATAGGGAAAATCTTTTAAAAATCTTCTTCTCCATAACTATTGGGCCAGGAAAAATGAAACTTATGTGGAAGCATCCTTAGTTAGTGTAGATTCAAGTTTGTCCAAATCATGACCCCCGGGGGTAGGGCGGGGCCACAATGGCCGATCAAAGTTTTTCATAGGAATATATAGGAAAAATATTTAAAAATCTTCTTCACCAGAACCATTGGGCAAGGAAAGATGAAACTCATGTGGAAGCATCCTCAGGTAGTGTAGGTTCAAGTTTGTTCAAATCATGACCCCCGGGGGTAGGGTGGGGCCACAATGGCCAATCAAAGTTTCACATAGGAATAAATAGGAAAAATCTTTAAAAATCTTTTTCTCTGAAACTCATGTTAAATCATCCTCAGATAGTGTACATTCAAGTTTCTTCAAATCATGACCTGTGTACAATGGCCTTAATTTTACATAGGAATATAAAGGGGAAATCTTTTAAAAATTTTCTTCTCAAGTACTGCAAAGCCGTGATTAGTGATATTCATATGGAAGCATCCTCAGGTAGTGTAGATACTAGTTTTTTCAAATCATAACCTCCAGGGATAACCACAATGTGTTCAAATTCAAATTATTACAAAGTAATATATACAAACAAAATGTTGAAATAAAATCTTTAATAATCTTTTTCTCAAGAACTTTCTCAAGAAGTTATATGCAGTATTGATATGGAGGCATTCTCAAGTAGTATTAGAATTCAAGCCCCTTCCCCCCACCCCCACCCCTTAAGTAAACTTTTCAATTCGGATCTGATTTGTGCTTTTTCCTAGCTCAGGTGAGCGATGTGGCCCCTAGGCCTCTTGTTAACAAGATTATGTGACCAATGGAACACACAGGGTCAGTAAATCAAAGTACAGTGTATGTCTGTCAGTCAATCTAAATGACTAAGAAGTGCATGTTTATATTCAAACATTTCATAATAATTTCAAGCACAAATATTCAGAAAATAAGCACCACCCCATTTTATCCTTGTAGGAACTTTATAATTTTGCAACAAGGTTATTCCCAACTGTGTATCCTTAATTTTACTGTAGATTTTACACAGTCACATGACGTCGTGATCGGACTTTCCGGATCACCACACTGTGGTTTTCTGAATCCATGTCACCACTCTCTGAAATTGATGACATAGCACACAGAGACATGGCATTTTTTTTCTTGTGCATCAAAAAGTTTTCTGAGAAAATGCTTTGTTTAATATTATAATGATTAAAAAATTTATCATTATAAAAGTTACTTGATCTTAAGAGTGGTATCATGTGAAGTTGACAGGGGCAGATCATCAGATTATATGAACCGTGAAGATGCCAACCTAATAATATGTGTACAATGTATTTACAAAAAACACAGTTTTATTACGGGTACATTTATTTACATGAATTGATAATTTATAGAACTGTGTATTTATATAGATATTCTGTATTATCTACGTTTCGGTATATTTTTATTCTAGGATCTGATGGCAGCCACAGTGGCTTTAGAAGAAATAAAGACCAACAAAAAGTTTGCTCATATCCTAGAACTTATCTTAATGATTGGAAATTATCTCAACTCAGGTTCCAGAAATGCTCAGTCTCTAGGATTTGACATCAGTTTTCTCAGTAAAGTAGGTTGTTGGGTTTAAATTGAGATTACATTGAGAATGGCAGCTGTTCAGATACATTTATCATGTTTTGTGTTTGTGACCATTTAATTGCAGTTGAAGAATACTAAGACCCAGGACAATAAGTCTACACTTGTCCATTTCCTAGTCAGTATAATAGAGGAGAAACATCCAGATCTGGTCCAGTTCCAGGACGATTTCACCTACCTTGAGAAGGCCTCCAAAGGTTAGAAGGGGGACTAAAGGGGGCATTTAATTTAATTTGATAACATTTTAATTAACTCTGCTAAGCAGTAAGAATCTCAGAATATGCATGCATCTTGATTTAAATGAAACATGGAAGTTTTAAGACAAATGGGAACTATGAGTGTTAAAAATCAGGTGTAAAGAGCAAAAATGAAAACATGTATATTTTTAAGTGTCAAGAATAGTGGCTTATACAGCTGCATGAATGTATGTTTAGCTTTTCCCAGGGTTATTATTTAGTTGAGATAAATTTTGCTCTGGTTTTCAGTATCTGATGAGACGATACAAGGAAACTTTCGTTCGATGGAGAAGTCTTTGAAGCAGGTGAAGGCGGATATAGATAACTGTAAGAAATCACCGATGGAGGGGGACAGGTTTCCAGAGGTCATGGAGATATCCTTTATTCTGGAGCTCTGAAATGTTAACTTCATAGTCATTGGTGTATTATCATTTTCAGAAAATGTCAGTCTTTTATATGCAATCTAAATCACATGAAGTATGTGGATGCGTTATAAAAATTAAGTAATACAAAATAATCTTAGTTTAAAAAAGAAAATGCTTCATTTCAGGTATTTTATGTGTTATCATCTTAAAATCCCTTTGTCACCATGTTTCATTTCTAAATATTCCTTGTTTCCTTGACAACTCCACGGTTTCCTAGAGGATGCTAAGCAACAGTACGAGGTGATGATCAACATGTCCAAAAAAATGACCAGTTTGTATGAAGATATGGGCAAATTTTATTGTTTTGACTTAAAGAAATACACAATGGAGGAATTCTTTGGGGACATCAAAATCTTCCAAGACAGTTTTAAGGTCTGTTAAAATGTGTTGTTCTTGGATACATGTAATTTCTGTAGGTTATGCTAATTATTCATATATAACTGTTGACTGTTAATTGATTTTCAAAATTAATCACAGCATGAACTAGAAAAATGATTAACCAGTAACAAAAACAACATTAAGAATAAAGTTTTATTTTGAACTTCAGCAAGCCCTCAAAGATAATGCTAAACAAAGGGAGACAAATGCTAGACTACAGCGGGCAAAAGAGGCCAAGGAGCGTGCTCAAAAAGAAAAGGAAGAAAGAATGGCCGCCCGCAAAGGTAAAAGGATCACAGGAATTAGATATTCTCCTCCTTTTAATTTTCTTGATGAACATACAATTTATATAAGAGTATTTTAAAATTGGTAGATATTTGATAGAGCTAGTGGCCATAATAAAAAATATTACTGCTGCAGAACTTGTACATGCATTTAGAAAGTAATTGTATGTAAAGTTTTCTATGCATGTATCTGTATATTAATGCTAGAATCCTCTCGTTTCAGAAGGAGAAATTCAGGGCAAGAAGATTCCGACCAGAGGACTCGGTCCAAAGGGTATGTGTTCCTTATAATCACTAAGAAAGTTCTACTCTGAAAATCTAGAAATGTTACAAAAAAAGTATGCATAGTATCAAACATAAAACGAGTATGTATTATAAAGCTGTTAAATATGTGATTCTAGATGATGACTTGAAGGGAGCAATGGACAATCTGTTGGATGCTCTAAAGACTGGATCAGCGTTCAACACGGCCCGACGGAAGAGAAATCCAAGACCAGGCGGTAAGACTTTGACTAGAAAATAGGATTTCACTATTAACAAAATCAAAAACATCCAAAAGCCTCCAAATATTGTATAAATAATGCATTATATTTTGGGGAAATTTTGTTTCGTGATACACTACCTGGAACATGAACAGATCTGGAGGATTTGAATTTTCCGATGTGTACATGAAGTAGGAAGTTAATTCTATTTTATCCCAGTGTACTAGAATGACACAAAATTTGATTTCAGTGATTTTGATATGTTGATCTGTCTACAGGTGACGGAGAGGTGAAGGCAGTGAGAAAAAAACATGATCCTATAGATATCATGGCCATGCAGATGGATTGTTGATAGATATCTCAATAGATGATATCTCAATAGATATCTCAGCCAGGCAGGAGGACTGTGGATGTCTATTAGAGATATTTCCAGGAAGGATTTAGATATACAGATGTACATCTCGGCCATGCAGAAGGATGTTTGATATTTATCAGGGCCACATAGGAGGATAAATTAGAAATAGGCTAAATATACACAACCATTTTCATGTCTTCCTTTACAGATCCTTGTTTTTATCTTTTTTTTTTGTGTTTTTTTCTAAATTGTATGCGGGGGTACATATTTATGTTTATAAAAGTTTAATTGGATTAAGTTATATATTTGTTGGTTTTGTTTTGTTAAATGTTGCCGGTACATATATTAAGCTTATATTATTTTTGGCACACATATCTCCATAATGAAATGCACACTCTATAAAGAGTAATTTGTACAGAATTAGTTATCTTTGGTCCATTGTAAAAAGTTACCTGAGTTACAAAAGAGGTAAACTTTAGTACAGTACCAACTTGTTGAAAGACCAAAATACAACAGTTACTATAAATAGCTGGTATAAGAAATTATCTGCTGTGAGAAATTATATTGAAGGTAAAATGTGGTACTGTATAATGGACACCACAGAATCTGTGTTCTCTTCTCTAGTCTGTGTGCTTGTCGTTAATTTTTATTTTATTTTTTAGATTTAAGCATTTATTGGAGCGAGTGTGTAAATTAGTCCTAAGATTTATTGCTGATTTGCCAAGTTTGCCTTTAACAAAACCTGCAAAGCTAAAAATAATTGAAAGACCTTTTTTTAAATTTTAACACAAAAGTAGGGGTCTTATTTAATAAAAGATTTTCAATTAAGTATATTACAGAAAGTTTCCATGATGATGGAGATTATATTTATGCACATTATATGGATTGAGAGCTATTGAAAAAGTTAATATGAGTATTTATTGTTTTATATTTTATGTTTTCATATCATGCAGGTGCTATTTGTGAGTGCTTCTAGTTTGTTAAGAAATATAATACAATTAGTGATTAAAACTTTGTGGACTGGTAAATGTTTTGGAAAATTCATCAGTAAAAATTCAGATGAAATATTGACTTTCCATTTAATGTTTGTTCCATCTTCAGTTTATGCTGTAAATCAAACATCAGCGTAATTCGGCATAAACTGGTCTTCCGTCCATTGTTTGGAAATTTACAAATGTTTCCCATCATTCCTAGATTTGTAGCGATATAATTGCAGCTGTTATACTGTTATAGGTGATATCTGAATTGTTAAAAGTTTTGTTGTAGATTTTATTTTTAGAGAAATGTATGCAAGTTTACATTTTCAGAGATATGCAGCATGATTTATGCTTTGATTCTATGTGTGCATATGAAGTGATATTAGACGTAGTTGTACATGTTGTCTCTTTTACATTTAGCTCCAAATAATGATAAATGTTTAAATGGAGAAAGTTCTTTTATTTGTTAATCACATGTATTTTGTAAACATATTCTCTCCACTTTTGATTGTACTGAGGTCTCGTATTTCTTCGCATTTTAAGAAAGATCCAGCTGAAAGTAATGGCTGCCTCACTGTTTATAAACTGTATCATATGAAATGTGACATTTTTGTTTGTAACTTCTTTATCTTGGTGCTTTACGATTTCTTGTTATTTATATATACTGGATTTTCTCTTTTCTCTCGCAACACAATACTCTGGATTGACTGTGATTTCTTCATTGGTAGAAAAGTCTCATCTCGGCTGAAAACAATATTTCTTGAATATTTGATTATTTCTCACTATAAATATTTATATTATTATAATCAATATATTCTGCTATATCAATAACAAGAAAAAAGATTAAGAATTTAACATTGCACCATTAGGGATTTTTATATCAGGGCATCCCTAAAACAAGATGTTGTATGATTCCTAAGTATTTCTATTGTACTAATCTATTTATAGCCCTATCACTCAGGTATAATCAGTAAAGAGGCCAGACTAGTCATATATTTTATATTGCTACACCAGGTGTAGAAATCTGCCAGTTATATGTCACACTGAATTATCAATATAGATTCTTATTGTCTCGAATAGTCAAGATAGTTTATAATTCTGTCAATTATATTTTGGGCTTATTTTTATTTTAAAGGGGCTTTGACACAAGTTTAAAGTCAATATTTTAAAGGAGTGTTTGACTGGTACACATCCTTGCACTAAGAAGTATAAACTAGAAAATTTATTGTGTGTAATGGAAAAATTTAAAAACTTTAATAGTAAACATAGAAAACTTCTGTTACAAGTATTGAAATTTTAGGAATGTATGCAAACAAAACATTAAATGTTGTCAATTTGTATATTTTTGAAATTTTAACCCTGAACAGAGCAAATTGATCACACCTTACAAAACATAAACACAGACAATAAGAGAGCTTATGCCTATGTTTTATAACGCCGAAATTTGACATGAATGTAAATAAGGACATTATTTTTATATTGTCAAACTTTGTTATATCTTGAACTTGTGTGACTTTGACCAGTTATTCAGGATTAAATACATTTAGAAATGTTATTATTTTTTATTCATGTAAAAATAAATATTGCATATATTTTTAAAATTTAATCCAAAACAGAATGCAAATTGTGTCCAGGCCCCTTTTAAACTAGAGGGAATGAAAAATTTTCAATGTTAACCACTACATGCAATATTTATTATATTATACTGAATGTTTTATACAAATACATATAACGGTGAACCGTGCTCGCATAAATTCTGCATAATCGCTTTGTATAAATCACCCGTCAAACTTTGTGTTGCTATGCTGGAGGGCATAGTTTCAGTTATTCAGGATTAAATATATTTAATAATGTTTCCACCAATCACTTTGTCAAACTAATTTACATAAAGTTACATGTAAGATATTGATGTTCAAGATACCAAAGTACAACTGTGTAATTATATAGATGTTTTTTATAGGGTGGTGTTTCAGTGAGTACATGTTCGTACATTGTATTTTTATTAAGGACATCATGAAACCTTTGGGTCCAAAAGTTATCGATATTCCTAATTATTTAATTGCACTTCCAATTCTTGTTATGAATACAAATGTATACATTCCTTTTCTTTTTTTTCAAAAGAAAAAAAATAAAAGAAGCATCAGAGTACTCTCTTCCTTAGAATATTATCTTATTATTATCAATCTTTCAAATGAACATTAGTAGCTGTTTTAATATGCTTGGCAATAAATGAAATTTATTTCATGATCAAGTTGCTTGTTTTATGTTGCTTGTCTTAAGCCATAGTTTAAAAAAAGTTCTCTTTGATTCATTTAGTAGCTATGACAACACTTAACTAGAGATATTGTGAATAAGCTCACAAAACTACACCCCTGCATTATTTTAAAGTGTCTATATACACTTCTCTTGGAAATGACCTTAAACTTGATTTATAAAAACACACACCGTTAAAGTAATATACGCCGTATGGATGCCGATTTGTATGTGAAACAAAATGATTAAATGATTTGAAACACATAAAGTGTAATGAAAAAATAATATTTCCACAAAATTTAACTATAAAACTCGTTGTAATAACAGAACAATACAAGTAATATCTGCAATCAAGAATTCAGTCTTTTCATGAATATTGATAAAGGAAGTGCGTAAACAGTAGGTCTAAATATAGACACGTATGTCCACGGGAAATTATAGACAACGAGGCACATTGCATTTTGACAACGATTATTAATAAAAGGTTAATATGCGTCATAACAGAGTATAGATGGTTGATACTGATTACATTTAAAGATAAGTTATATTAATAGTAACACGCCATCCATGTCAAAAGTGAGTTGTATCTCAAAGGGCTTACCTCGTTTTCTTGACGCCGTGTTTGTTTATCAATCTAAAAGTAGCGACGGCGTCACGTGGTGGATTTACTTAAAAATAGACATTATTCTCCTTGCAGGATAATAAATAATTATAATTTGATAACTTTATAACGAATTTTATTTAAATGGTGTAATTTACAGCATTTTCGTAACTTTTATTGGTAAACAAAATGTATCAATTTCCAGCCGTATTTTAAAATGGCGCACGTTATAGCGTATATTACTTTAAGTTGTATACGAGTTTCGTTATTTGTATGGTATAATACTTCTCTAATTAAAAGCTGTGGATCTGCTATGAAATTTACATTTTTCTCAAAAAGTGACCTTGAACTTGATCAAATAACCTTGGTTCAAGATCCTGACACTCCCTTGGGACATAAGCAATCTTTGAAGTGTTAACTACATGTATATACATTTTTGTAAAAATAATGTACATTGACAGTGAATGTTTGGACACAAATTTTACAGTTTTTCTGCCATTGACTTTTAACTTTTTGAAATGACCAAGTTCCCAAATAAAAAGTGATCAACAGCTGGTCTAGAAAAGATAATCACCTCTTACCAAGAAATATTACAAGACAATGTCTTTTGTATACTTTTAATATTTCATTTCTTAATATTGTACAATAACTTACAGGTAGTACAAAAACAAAAGCATTAACATTAATAAGCTGCTTTACAAGGATGCTTCTTGAACAGATCTATAGATGTAATTCCCCCTAAACTTCAGTATTGTGTGAATTTTGTAGGACATAAACATCATACATATACACTGTACTATGTATGAAGTATTGTACAATGACATATCCAAAGTCTGCAGTATTGTATAGTGTGAGGTACAGTTAATATGTTGGAGTACACAAGCATAAAATACTGGACACAAGTTAGCAGTGTTGTACAGTGGTAAGCTCTATATTTGTACTATAGTACAGCGTTAAGATATGATAACTTGAATAGACTTTTACAACTCGTATTAGTTTCCATTGTGATGTACAATATATCTACAGTATTCAACAGTGACAGGGTCTCTGTTATTGGTCAGTAATAGAAGTATAAGCCATGTCTGTAGTATATTGTACAATGGTAGATACTGTCTGATGAAGCACAACCTAAGAGGAACCATGACTTTTTAAAAATCTACATGTACTTTTCCAACTTATAAGAATGACATTAACCCACAAACCCTGAACTAAACTATTTTTTTTAACAAAAGAGACCATTGGCAGCTAGAACACAAATACCTAAACATAACCACCCCCTCCCTATAAAAAATAAAACAATAGGATGAACACCCCATAGAACAGTCTCATTACTTGGGTAATAATGGACTTAATCCTGGGTAGAAAAAGCTAATGGGAAGATAACATCTTATTCAGGTACACAGAGGCCAGTTCATTTGTTCTCATTGATGAACACATTAATACTTGTGTACACAATTCTACATTCATAGACACAAAGATCTGGAGCAAAACAGAAGTAAGAGATTCATTGATCAAGTGTCAACAAGATCATTAAATGCTAGCAGTTCTAAGAACAATTTACCCAACTAATCTATGCCTATACAATTCTGGACTTGTATATCATTTGTAAAATTGGTAACAATATCTTTGGTGAGAAACATACCACATATCACTTGTACATATATGTATCTTTCATAAACAAGAGGCCCATGGGCCACATCGCTCACCTGAGAAGCGTTGACCATTCTGTTCTTTACCAGATTTCCCCCTTGTTATACATAATGCATACCCACCCTACCCCACTGATCATAATTTAGACATTTTGAAATCTACACTACCCCATGATCCTTCCATGGGCACATATGTTTCAGCTTTTTTGGCCCAGTGGTTCCCGAGAACAAGATTTTCAAAGATTTTTCCTATATATTTCTATGTAAAACTTTGATTCCCTATAATGGCCCCGCCCTTCCCCCGGGGGTCATGATTCCTACAATTTAGAATTTACACTACCCCAGAATGCTTCCACATAAGCTTCACTTTTTCTGGCCCAGTGGTTCTTGAGTAGAAGATTTTCAAAGAATTTTTCCTATATATTTCTATATAAAACTTTGATTCCCCATTGTGGCCCTGCCCTTCCCCCGGGGGTCATTATTTGAACAATTAAGAATCTACATTATACCAGGATGCTTCCACATAAGTTTCAGCTTTTTTGGCCCAGTGGTTCCTGAGAAGAAGATTTTCAAAGATTTTTCCTATATATTTCTATGTAAAACTTTGATTCCCTATAATGGCCCCGCCCTTCCCCCGGGGGTCATGATTCCTATAATTTAGAATTTACAATACCCCAGAATGCTTCCACATAAGTTTCACTTTTTCTGGCCCAGTGGTTCTTGAGAAGAAGATTTTCAAAGATTTTTCCTATATATTTCTATATAAAACTTTGATTCCCCATTGTGGCCCCGCCCTTCCCCCGGGGGTCATTATTTGAACAATTTAGAATCTACATTATACTAGGATGCTTCCACATAAGTTTCAGCTTTTCTGGCCCAGTGGTTCTTGAGAAGAAGATTTTCAAAGATTTTTCCTATATATTTCTATATAAAACTTTGATTCCCCATTGTGGCCCCGCCCTTCCCCCGGGGGTCATTATTTGAACAATTTAGAATCTACATTATACCAGGATGCTTCCACATAAGTTTCAGCTTTTCTGGCCCAGTGGTTCTTGAGAAGAAGATTTTCAAAAATTTTCCTATATATTTCTATATAAAACTTTGATTCCCCATTGTGGCCCCGCCCTTCCCCCGGGGGTCATGATTTGAACAATTTAGAATCTACACTACCCCAGGATGCATCCACTTAAGTTTCAGCTTTACTGGCCCAGTGGTTCTTGAGAAGAAGATTTTTTAATGACCCAACCCTATTTTTGTCTTTTATAAAACAAAAGATTATCTCCCCTTGCGAGGGGATATGTCCCTTCATTTTAACAATTTAAATTCCCCTTCACCCAAGGATGCTTTGTATCAAGTTTGGTCAAAATTGGCCCAGTGGTTCTTGAGAAGAAGTCGAAAATGTGAAAAGTTTACAGACGGACAGACAGACGGACAGACAGACAGACGGACAGACAGACAGACAGACGGAGGGACGACGGACAAAATGTGATCAGAAAAGCTCACTTGAGCCTTCGGCTCAGGTGAGCTAAAAAAATACTCGTGTTGAACACAGAAATTCAAAGGGTTACAATAGATTTTTTCAAACCTGAAGTTGATCTACATATACAGATATTTATCCATCTAAAATAGCATTCTACATTGACTACACTGACATCACTTCTCTTGTCTTTGGAATTTGTAAGTTTGCTACAAGTGGTAGTGCTGCTTAACTTGTAAACTGTGAACAACTTATAAAAAAAAGTACAAAGTTATCTCAGCATAAATAAGAAAACAGTGATGTGGAATGCGTTTAGAGTTAATATTTTGGCGTTCTGTGCTCCGACACAGACGTAATGAACACATCCTGGCAAAAATTTAATCAATAAACAGAAACACAATAACAAGTGAAACAGGAATATTGCACTTAAAAATCCTTCTCTCATTCTGTATCAGATCTAAATCTTCTGATCATAAAATTACCAAAATAAAGGTACAATAGTCATTTCTTAAACAATTTTTACACTTGTAGTGAATGAATTTTCATGTCATGGTAAACTCAGAAAGTAACAATACTTGTATGTCTTTTTGAAGACTGCAACTTAAAATACAAATTCCTTTCCAATAATAACTTTATATTCTTACACATTAGCATGACAGATGGAATGGAATGAGGTTAATATGATGATCTCAAAAAGAGCCAGTGTTAATAATAAGTGATGAATGACATGTCCTGAATATACAGCTGACTGGTCCCCCTGAGTGGCCAAGGATTCCTTCGAGGTCACAGTAGGGACCAGTTTATAATAAATACATATGTATCACAGATAAACAGACTAACCTGGGCAGCATAAAGTTGTATGTACGGAGTTATCTACCATAGATGACCAAAGTGGCCTATATTACACATGTACAAAGTTATCTATACATTTCTACTATCTGGGACATAAATGTTCAGCATTGTACACAATTTGACTTCTCTATAAAATTATATTTACGGTAAGACATTTAGAAATACAAAACATTCAACGTCTATGGAAAACCATTACTACAGAAGTGGTTCTAAATGTTTGGGAAAATTTATCTCATGGTCAGCTTAAAACCATGTCAGATTTCATTGGTATGGTAACAAAGCATTATCTGGAATTATTGTTACCATAAAACACACCAAAGCTTTTCCCACAAGTGATGAATGTCTGACAAAAACTTACAGCCCTGTGTAAATAATCACTTTTGCAGTACTTTGTCATTAATAATGCCACAAAATATTGGAACATAGTGTTACTTGTCATTTGACAGAAGAAGAGACTAGGCACAGTGGTCTTGCATAAATGAAAATCATGGGGAGAAAAAAACAGAAAAAAAAAAAAATAAAGTGTTGAGTTATAAATTCAGAAAAAGATGTTTAAAGAATAATTAATTTTAAGTGAATGAGAAAAGTATAAAGGGCAAATGACTATATAAGTTTTAAGTCACAACACATTTGGCACATACATGTACATGGAAAATATAACCCAGAGCCATTATTGACATAATAGAACAAAGCGTGTTAAAAAATAATTTATCTACCCTTTTGATCCGAGCCCACAAATGGCACAGGTCAATCCAACACTCAGTGTTGCAGGGAAATTAGCTGCGTTTATAGCACAGTTTTAACTGAATTAGGCACATACTCTCATCACAATGGGCAATAAAATTTTCTGCGTATCTGAAGTGTAAAAGGCCTTTTATCTGCCACACATTCACAAATTATTTACAATAATAATTTTACAGTAATCAGCAATCAGTATACATAGAAATATTCTATAGACAAAGCCATAGGTGCTAGAGGTCTTTAAGTCTTGCTAATATTTTTTCGGCCTCTGACATTCCGTTATCGTTAACACTGCTGCGAGGTTTTTCTTCACGATTTGTCCTCCTACCACCGTCCTCCTGTCGACTATTTCTTCTCCTATCTTCGTTGTCGTTTAAATCTTTCTGACGACTATTACGCCGCCTCTCCTCGTTGTCGTTTAAGTCTTTCTTCACTAAGCTAGTTCTCATGTCTAACTCGCGGCGAGCCTCCCGTCTCTCATGGTTAACCCTGGGGGGCCGAGGGGGCGTGTCTACAGAAGAATCATCAAAGTTTATCTCCATCATTGTGGAATTGTCCATGTTGAGTAAATTCTGGCGTGACCTTGACCTGGATAACTGGGCCCTTCTCTCAGCTGAAAAAGATAAAAAATCTTTCAGGATGCAATGTTAAAATTTTTTAAATCTGTATGAAATTATTTTATTAAAAATTAATAAATGTATCTATATTTTGTTGAAATTCTCTTTCACATAAAAAACACTAACTAATCAAATATTTATAAAAACTATTAAAAATCAATTAATTATATTGTATCTATTTAATTTTCATGGTCAGATATATCTTACGAAGTCCATCAATCAACAATAGGCCCATGGGCCACATCGCTCACCTGAGAAGCTTTGACCATTCCGTTCTTTACCAGATTTCACCTTTGTAATACATATTGTGACCCCACCCTACCCAACTGATCATAATTTAGGCAATTTGAAATCTAAACTACTATAGGATGCTTTGATTCCCCATTGTGGCCACACCCAACCCATGGGGATCATGATTTGAACAATTTAGAATCTACACTACCCCGGGTTGCTTCCACATAAGTTTCAGCTTTTCTGGCCCAGTGGTTCTTGAGAAGAAGATTTTCAAAGATTTTTCCTATATATTTCTGTGTAAAACTTTGATTCCCCATTGTGGCCCCGCCCTACCCCCGGGGGTCATGATTTTGACAATATAGAATCTGCACTACCCGGAATGCTTTCACGTAAGTTTCAGCTTTTCTGGCCCAGTGGTTCTTGAGGAGAAGATTTTTAAAGATTTTTCCTATATATTGCTATGTAAAACTTTGATTCCCCATTGTGGCCCCCGCCCTACCCTTTGGGGTCATGATTTGAAGAATTTAGAATCTGCACTTCCCCAGAATGCTTTCACATAAGTTTCAGCTTTTCTGGCACAGTGGTTCTTGAGAAGAAGATTTTTAAAGATTTTTCCTATATATTTCGATGTAAAATTTGATTCCCCATTGGGGCCCCACCCTATCCCCGGGGGTCATAATTTAGAATTTACACTACCCCAGGATGCTTCCACATAATTTTCAGCTTTTCTGGCCCAGTGGTTCTTGAGAAGAAGATTTTTAATGACCCCACCCTATTTTTGTCTTTTCTTGATTATATCCCCTTGTGAGGGGACTTGGCCCTTCATTTTAACAATTTAGATTCCCCTTCACCTACGGATGCTTTGTACCAAGTTTGGTCAAAATTGGCCCAGTGGTTCTTGAGAAGAAACCAAAATGTGAAAAGGTTTACGGATGGACAGGCGGACAGACAGCAAGACAGACGGACGATGGACAACATGTGATCAGAAAAGCTCACTTGAGCCTTCAGCTCAGGTGAGCTAAAAAGCAAAAGTATACAATTGACTCAACAAACACTGTACAATGGCATACAGAAGATAATGCAATATCATAGGCTTCTACAAAATCATGCTGTAAAAATCAACCATCTACACTGCTTCATGTTGGCCTGGATATCATATAAAAAAAACAAAAGCAAAACAGGAGGACTTTTCAAAGTATTGGACAGGTCTGATAGCTAGAAATCATTTCATATTGCTGTGACACAAAATGATAAATAAAGTTTGCATATACATGTTCACATACAATAAACAAAGATTGAATAATTAAAGCAGGATAAACTGAAAAAATAAAAGACAGGGGTAAAATAAATGCATAATAATGAAAGCAAGGTAAATGTCTCATTTCAAAACCAAGGGAATTTTAAGGAATGAACATGGTATGATAAAGTATGTGGGACAAGAGTCACATCCAAATACTCCTAATGAAACTGACATCAGGAACAATATTGTAGGTCATTAGGAATCAGAAGGATTTTACATGTAAATTTGCTGTGCTTCGAGATCTGACCTTATTTATCATGTATATGCAACCCAAAACAAGCATTATTTTGTGGCAACTAAAATTTAACGGAATATACACGTAAATTACACTAAAAACAGGTTGACATCATGCAAGACACAGCAAGCATGACCAACCAGTAGGATTGGCTCATTTGTTTGGGTTCTGGACTGAACACATTGTCACTGCCGCCGTCACTACTGGTCATGGGTTTGTGCCAGACGCGAGACCTGGTCATGTTGGCAAACCTGTCTGTTGACAAAGGAAAATCTCTTATTCATAAGAGTAAGATTTCTTGAAAAATAGCAGTCATCTCCCAAATTTTCAAAACAATCATTTTTTTATGACAGATCTTTTATATGTACTGAGTCTCTTGATTTTCATGGTCTTCAAAAATTGACAAATAAAAACAAATTGTAGTCTCAACAAGATCTAGAGTCACCCTATTGGCTCTAACCGCAGTGAAACGAATCTGGAGAAATATTTCTCTACCATCTGTGAACAGGTACATGTACTTGATATAAAGAACTGATTATGTAAAGAACATTTAAGGTTCTTATGCTATAATCCATAGCAAGGCATAAATAATAACACTTTTATATGTATATATATATATAAATCATCACAATATTTAACATCATAATATTATTATAAATATATGACACTCTCTAAACAAGATAGATTCTGTATTCAAACATACACAGCACCAATGTACTGAATGAAGATCAGAAGAAATATGGTATGAATTTTACTGTAAACAAACTTATTGAATTACCTACTGTGATTCATTATGCAAACTTTCATGATAAAATTTCACACACAATGAAAAGAAAGTTGGTTTACAATGTCTTATACAAATCAAAGAGAAGCATTCAGAACAAAGTAATTAGGAGGGAGAAGTCATTATTTGAGAGGGTGATACCCTAATCCAGGTCACGTCCAGGCTGGTAAATTATTTTGTCTTTTGGCTATAAAAATGCAAACAAATGTATAATAATCTATTAACGACCCTAAACCTCTGAAATAAATTGTTTACTAACATCCTGAAAGAAAGAATTCACCAAAAAATAAATAAAAACCTTGAACAAACTAGAACTGTCCAATAGGGACAAATACCCCCCGCTGGGTTTTTCAGAGAAGGTGCCAATTCAAAAATACTTTATGGATCTAGAGATGTTCACAATTTACTTAAAAAAATTTGCAGTGAAATAAAATTGCTCATCATGTTTCTTTATGAATGAAACGGAGGTGCAACCAAATGAAACATCAATACTAATACATTGTAATTCCATTGTAATTTTTTTTTATTTTTATCATTTAATTTTTCTTCATTACTGCATTAAAAAAATATATTGCAATTATGTGTTATGTCACTCTGCAAACTGATTGTTGAAAAAAGAAACCATTATACAAAATCAAATTAATCTTGATATATCAATTTGAAATGCATTTTGAAAATAAAGAACTGGTCATCCAGTAATGAAGTGTTTTGACAGACAATAAATTACAATTAAGAGAATAAGAGAAGAGAGATCTTTAATTCTTGTGCCTTATTCCCTGAAGATTTGATAACACACACACACTTGATAAGAGATATGCCTTAACAACTTCCAACACCAAACTCATTAATTTATCTTTAACTGGATGCATGTCCAGTCATTATTCCCAAGAGACAAATGAAATTACATTATCTTCTGTGCAATGTAAAAACTGTTTTTAACATATTTTTTAAAGTTTTTATGAGTAGTTTTAAGCTGTAGTTCATGTTTTTGTACAGATATTCTAGATTCTATGTCTCAAACCTTATACATGAGCCCAAAATGAACAAGTCAATTAAAATTTTAAAAAACCGGTAAAATGCAGAAAAATGAACAAAAAGAGTTGAAAATTCCAGGTGCACAACTTCATATGGTGAATAATAATTGTACAAATTTTCAGATTAATCCTTGCGATAGTTTCTGAGAAACGGTCCAAACAAAACCCCAAAATAAAAATGAAAAAACACCTGTAAAATTCAAAATAATAATCCAATCAAGATGAAAAATATCAGGTGCACAACTTCATATGGTGAATAATATGTGTACAAATTTTCAGACAAATCCTTCCAATAGTTTCTGAGTAATGGTCCGGACAAAGTCTCGTCTACAGACAGACGGACAGACGGACATGGTGATTTCAATCTGTGCGGGGGGTATAATAACAGTATCTTGAAAGCAGTTATAACTGAAATCCTCAAAGTTTCCCTTCCCATCTAAAGTTACCTGTTGGATCAGAATACAAGCTGACAATTTCTCTTGATGAAGCTAATCTATACTTAGCTGAATGAAAAATGTGTAATAAACATGTATATACATTGAATAAAGATTGGTATATGTTTTATCATATTTCTGATGTTTCTTAAGTAACCAGGGGAGAAAGAGGGGGTAATCTAGTTTGTTACCTCCAGCTGCCCGCGGCGTTTTTCGTTTAGCATCCCGTTTCTCTCGATTGAAACAAGACCCCGTTTTGAGGGCTTCCAGTAAATTGTCCATCACACCTTCTTGATCATCATCTAAAAAACATAAAACTCAGCTAATTAGATACTTAATCCAATGCTATAAAGGGACAAAAATAATTTTTTGCTAATATTTTCCTTTAAAATGTTACTAAAGCATAATAATTCAAGATAGTTTCAAGAAATTCTAAAACAGCTTGTGTACCTATAGTCATATCCACAAGAGCCTTTTTCCTGGCCAGTTTGGCTTCTCTCTCCTTCTGCTGACGTTCCTTGGCCTCTCTAGCTCGCCTTATTTTCTCATTTGTCTCACGGATCTTTGCATTGTCCTTAAGTGCTTGCTATTAACATATTGCAATGTTAAAATCTGATAGCACATTTTTTAAATCTAAATAAATCTAATTACTTATAGCACGTCACAAATAATTTTGCTGTATTCAATAAAAATGTATCAGTACTGTGAAATCACTAATTTTCGTGGGGGTTTAATATTCGTTGTTTTTGAGGTATGAGGAAACCCTCGAATTTATGTCCACCACGAAACGCAATTTTTCACATATAGTACTACTGAACAATACTTGAACCACAAAATCGAATCCCCATGTACCAATATATTTTCCTCAAACCAGGAAAATTTGAATCCTCGAAAATATGTGATTTTACAGTATATTATATTAACATTAATATTTTGCATTAGTAAAAATGTACCGTTGCATTATCCATTACAATTCAGACGTAACTACCTCTAACATTAATAATCCATAATTTTCTTCCAATTTGTCAGTAACTTGCATTTTCTTTTATTGAAGTGTTTTTCATAGGAATAATTTAAGATTTTTGTAAATCATAGTGCATGATTTAAGGATCAATAATCTTGAATAATAGAGATAAATTGGAGAGTAGATCTCAGTATGTACATAAAATACTGTACATATCATTTTTTTAGCCTACTGCTTTACACATATCTCAGAGGTTTTCATTGGGTATCCCAATGAGGCTTATTTCAATTATCACTATGGGCATGATTATCTCTGTCCTGTAAATAGAAAACAACTCAGTCATATTTCTATCGCTGATCTTACCACAAATGACTCCTTAAACACTTTGATATCGTTGAAAAACTCCTCCATGGCGTACTTCTTGACATCAAACGTGTAATATTTGCCCATTTCTTTGTATAAATTGTCCACCATTTTGTACATGCCCTTCATGACTTCGTACTGGCTGTTGGCGGAGGAGATGAACTCGTTCATTACGCTGGAGAATCTATCTTCCTCGCTCTGCGTCTTCTTGAGATTCTTGATGTCGATTTCCAGCTGCTTCAGGGACTTCTCCATCGACTTCAGATTCTTCTGTAGCAGCTCATCTGACACTGAAATGAGACAACTCATACTGATTCCTCCACCTTTTCTCAGTTTTTATTTCCATTATTAAAGTCATAAAATATATCATTATTCCATCTTTGTATACAGGACACAATGTCAAATTTCTCAAACATGTACACATACATTTTAACTTCTGTATAAACATTGATATATCTAATGCATTACATACATGTGAGTTGAAGTGAAATAGGATCAGTAGCTAGAATCTCAAAATTATTCTTGATCTGATCAAGTTTATGAAAGAGAGGTTTGAATATATTCAATATTACTGACTCTTTATTGAGGGACATCTCATCCCATATTTGTACAAAGGTGTAGAAAAATCAGCATGTACATCTTTGATTAATGGTTTTATCTATCCCCTGCCTTCTTTACTTACACGAAATATATATTACTACCTACCTCTACAAGCTCTCTCTACATAGAATAGCTCCTCATTAAATGATATCAGATCTGAGTACTTTTATATTACTATATTTTATAGTACCTCTACATGCCCTCTTTACATAAGACAGCTCCTCAGTAAATGATATCAGATCTGGGTACTTTTATATTACTACGTACCTCTACATGCCCTCTCTACATAAGACAGCTCTTCAGTAAATGATATCAGATCTAGGTACTTTTATATTACTACGTACCTCTACATGCTCTCTCTACATAAGACAGCTCCTCAGTAAATGATATCAGATCTGGGTACTTTTATATTACTACGTACCTCTACATGCTCTCTCTACATAAGACAGCTCCTCAGTAAATGATATCAGATCTGGGTACTTTTATATTATTACGTACCTCTGCATGCCCTGTCTACATAAGACAGCTCCTCAGTAAATGATTTCAGATCTGGGTACTTTTATATTACTATGTACCTCTAAATGCCCTCTCTACATAAGACAGCTCCTCAGTAAATGATATCACATCTGGGTACTTTTATATTACTACATACCTCTACACGCCCTCTCTACATAAGACAGCTCTTCAGAAAATGATATCAGATCTGGGTACCTCTCCTCCACGATCTTAGCTAAGTAATGGACCAAAGTTGTTTTTCCATCACTGGCCTTTGTGTTTTGGAGCTATAAAAATTTGGAAACATAGTATGTGAAACACTAAGATTGTATGTACCATATTAGATTTTAAGCAATTAACTTAAGGAGGATAAATACCATCAATTTTTAATGTCAATACTTGGTACATGTTTCATGATATCAGTTTATAAGTAAATGTACAAGCATTTGATAAAATGATTCCATTACATATGTACACACAATTTACCTTTGGAAGAAAACTGATGTCGAATCCTACAGACTGAGCATTCCTTGACCCAGCATTTAGAATGTTGCCTATCAGTAAAATCAGTTCTAAGATTTTAGCGAATTTGCCGCTAGTTTTGATTTCTTCTAACGCCTCCTTGGCTGCCACCAAATCCTGAGAGGAGAAAATTTCAAGATATTTTAAAAACTGTAGACACAAAAGATTAAACCATTTTTTAACTAGAACTGTCCAATAGGGACAAATACCCCCCGCTGGGTTTTTCAGAGAAGGTGCCAATTCAAAAATACTTTATGGATCTAGAGGTGTGCACAATTTACTTACAAAAATTTGCAGTGAAATATAATTGCTCTTCATGTTTCTTAATGAATGAAACGGAGGTGCAACCAAATGAAACATCAATACTAATACTGTTTCCACTGGTTCACATTTTTTTTTAATTTTTCATTTTATTTTTTTTCGATTTCTGCATTAATATATGCAATTATGTGTTATGTCAACTGCTGCAAATAGCATTGGTTAAAAAAAAAACGTCTACAAAATCAAATTTATTTCTGTGATATATCAATTTGAAATGCATTTTGAAGAATTGCTACAAAAGTTTTCAACTATTCAGAATATGCATCCAAGGATTCTTCATATGACACAAACATTAACAAACAAGAAATCTGTGAGCCAATTCTGCCTTATTCCCCCGAGATGTAAATAACACACACGCATGTTAAAATACACAACAATTACAGGCAGATGCACAGAAAAATATTAATTTGACTTAACTGATTCATATCAAAATTTATTCCACCATATGGCATGCCTCACAAAGAGTGTACTAAAATTTCAAGCATCTGCTATGAATAGTTAAAAAAACTGTTTTTAAAAATTTGTTATGTATGAAACAGTTTTTATGCACAGTTTTAACAGGAAGTTGACATCAGATTTGATTCTATATTCTATATCTCATGCCTTATAGATTGTGTTAAAATCTCAAGTGCGATTAAAATAAAAAATAAAATGTGTAAAATGCAAAAAAAACAACAAACAGGAACTTGACATCGGATTTGAAGATGCACACCTTATGGCATGCCTGAATAAAATTGTGTTAAAATGTTGAAGCATCTAATCCTTGCAATAGTTGCTGAGAAAACTGCGACAAAAATTTGTTAAAAATGAAAAAACACCTGTAATATTCAAAATAAGTTGACATCGATTTTGAACAAAAATGTAGGTGCACAACATATGGTATGGTGAAAATATGTGTTACAAATTTTCAGCAAATCCTTCCATGATAGTTTCTGCGATGAAAATTTGTTATGTAAGAAACGGACAGACACACAGACAAACAGGAAGTTGACATCGGATTTGATTCAAAAATGTATCCCATCGTATGGCATGCCTATAAAAATATATGTACAAAAACTTACCGGCTTGATGTTGCTGGACCATCTGCGATGAAAATTTGTTACAGATAGCATGGAGTTACAGACACACAAGGGTAAAACAGTTTACCCCACCTCTTGAAAATTCCTTAAATCCTCATACGATTGTAATTATGCATAAAGGTAGGTTCTTACTAAATGTGCGACTCTCAAAACCCTTTACGTAACAAACACAACGTGATGTCATAATAGGCGCAGTATAAAGCGTGATGAAGCATTTTAGCAGAGAAATTTATTTATAAACCACAAATAAAACGTAAATGTTTCATCGGTGGGGCATGTACCGTAACATAGTCTTTTATAGTAGCAGTGGTTAAATTATCCTCGTCTACCTCTAGGATTCGCCTCTTTATTTCTGTGAAGGGCACCTTGATTGAACCCAGAAGAATCGCTACAATAGTTTTCAAATATTCAGAATATGCATTCAAGGATTCATCAAATGGCATAAACAAATTATTCTTGAAATGTTACCAGGCATCACTAATATCTGATGAACTAAAAAGTCTTGCCAGATTTCACATACTTTCACATCCTGGATATTTTTGTGGAAACAAAACAAGTACATGCATATTAATTTTCCTGAATCATATAAAAAAAATAATATAATGGTAGCCCTAAGGATGGCTAAGGTACACATGAGTAACCCTTTATCTACTTACAGAGATTCTGGGCTGACTTTGGATCCAGGACTTTTAGTTCTTTAGCTTTTTTCTTCACTTCCACCTGTTCATGATCAGTCTCCTTTTTTTTCCCTGGTGTAAAATGTATTCAGTGACTATTTATTGATTTATATTAAAAGCATGCTAAACCAATTTCTGTATACTACATAGGCTAACTTCTACACTCTTGACAGAAGACTAGGATTCTGTGCTATTACAATCTTTAATACATCTTGTTCAGTATATTAATTTACAATTCTGGAAAAAAGGTTCATTAAAAATGCTATTACCTTTGGTTGCAACTGCAAAATTCTCAACAAGACCTGCAAATAAATTTGGGTCCTCAAATCTGTCTTCATGGACTTTGACCCAGAATGCCTCTTTATCCATTTTATTTGCTTGCACCTGCAATGATACTTGTTCTTTACAAATGTGGTAAAGGTGGCGATATTTCAATGTTTAAAAGATAAAATTTTTGGGGAGAGTAGTGTCTATAAATTCATATTTATTGACATCCACATGACCATACAGTCAAAATCAAAATAACCAAACAAATGATGTGCAACAGAAGACTGAAATAAATCATACCTTATTCCAGTTGATGCGTTTTGTCTGAACTCCTAACTCATACTTCTTTTTGGGAGACATTCCGTATGGCAGTTTGCTGGAAGGTGGACTCACAATACTAGGGGGAGGTGGTGCTCCTGGTGCCCCAGGGGGTGGGGGTGGAGGAGGAGGTCCCATTCCTGGTGGTGGGGGTGGAGGAGGTGGGGCACCACCAGGTGGAGGGGGTGGTGGTGGAGGGGGAGGTACTCCCCCGGGGGGTGGCGGAGCTGGGGGTGGGGGAGGGACACCTGTTCCTCCGGGACCTTTACCAGCCATGATTGTGTCCCCAATGCCCTGTCGAATCTAAAAAGACAATTTTGTAAAAATTACAAAAATTTATAATTAAATTTTGTGTCATATTCAAAGATCCTTTTAAAATGAAGCTCAATAAATGGCATATAATTGACTGAATTAAATACTACAAGTGAGAATCACAATTTTTAAAAGTAAATTTAGGGCTGAAATAAATATTTCTATTGATATACCTTCTCTTTCATGTCAGCCACCTCTTGTTCGTATTGTTTGAGCTTCTCCTCCAGGGTCATGGCTCGAGCCTCGGATTCCTGCTTCGCCGTGAGGGCTGTTTCTAACTTATTATTAACCTCAATTATACTGCCTTCAAAATCTTCATATTTGGACTTCTCTGTTAAATTGCCTGTTCAAGAATGAAAGATTCAAATTTAAATACTTTTTCCACATACTATATGTATGAATGGCCATATCTAAACACAGAGATACCAAATACAGTATCTGTGACTCACTAAGAAGAGGTTCAACATCAATTTCAAATCGTTTTGTGTGTCTAAAATCTGGGTCAGTCCCACTTCTGTGCAGCACTATCTGAGTGACACACTCTTCTATTAATTTATAATACTGGGGCCTGAAACAAAATGAGCCAATGAAAGTTATACAAAAATGTTTATATTACCACGGCTAAAAAAATTTCCCCACTCTATGTTACAGTTTAATGAAAATTTCAAATAGTAAAACCGATTGTTTTACCTAGAAAACATGTCGTCCCTGATACAGAGTAAATGTTGGAGTATAGAGAGGAAGTAAGGCTCAGCTATCGTGTCCTTCACCGAGTTCTGGACCAGTGTAAAACACTGCTGGGGGTCTCTAGTAACAGCTCAGGAACAGAACAAACTCAGTCTCTTAAAAAAATTCAACAAGACAGGAGATAATCATGGAGGTTTCTGTACACCCCCTCCTAATTCTGTGGGAAAAGAGAGAATAGTAATTTTTGATTCATGATGTTAGTTGTGTGTGACTAGTAGGGCTGGCATCAAGTTTCGACTTTATTGACCAGAAATGAACTCTGAATCTTATATATTTCAAAATTTATAGAGAAGGTTTGCCATCAAATTAAACCATGATTTAAATGCATATATGTACATGTGGCACACACGGACTTTTTTAACATGACCCAACTTTTTGTGATTTAAGATTTTGCACACTTCTCTTCATGCTCTTAGACCCAAAGTTTTAAGGATACTCAAATTCCACCCTGATGTTGTCATAGCGATGTGAAAATTCTTCAAAATCCTCATCCTGGTGATCTTTAAAAATTTGTAAATGAGTCTGAAGTTCTTCATCCTGCTGACTGTTTAGTGACTGTAAATACAGAGGTACATGTACATTCAATTATGGAAACTTGACAGATATTGATTCATACACACACTTTTCCAAGTTTCTTTGAAAAAATATTACATCCAACTTGGTAAATAATATCTACCTTGTCTTACAAGTTTAATTTTAAAACTGTTTCTGATTTCTTTTAAGCATATTTTTGAAAGATGTTACTTGTCTTGAGTTATATTTCCCCTGTCTACTTACACCAATCAAATCAATGAGTCCTGTCCTCATGAATTCGTTACGTAGATGAAGTCTAAAGTCCAGATCATCTGGTGTGCTGACGATGGCATTCACTAACTGGATACAGGCCACCTGCATGGGCTGATTGTCTCTCATCCCTAGCCCCATAATCACAGGGATAAACCTGTCCCTCCCCCTTATCTCCCCACACACTGTTATACCCTCCAACGCTTTCTCATGCCTGAAATTGTACAAATCAAATATTAATGCTGAGATTTTATAATAATTAAAAATAACCCCCCACTTACATGTATGTACAAGCAAATCTTCAAAGAATTGTTATTTTTCAATGGCTGGTAAAAAGGTTATTCCCAAATTAAGTGAAACTTTGAGAAGAGTTTTTTTCCAGATAGAAAAGTTTTACCCATCAGGTGGGACCAGACAAATGGCGGCGAGCAGACGTACGGCCTCCAACATGGTGGTAGGGTCTGACGGGTCCACGGTCCGTGACAGAATTGTCAGGGCTTCGTCATGCTGGATAATCTGCATCAGCCCAAACTAAACAAACCAGAGATAAGTTATAGAGAACTGCTGAATGTCAATGAACTAACTTTGCCATAAATCTGTACCTGAATTCACATTACAATGTATGTGTAAAAAAATCTTGAAAATAATTTTACATTGGTAGGAAAATAGGTTATTTGAACCTACAATCATTAAAATCCCAATCTAAATTAACATTGCAAATAAAATAGAGGAAAACTCAGGGAAATGGAGAGAGCACTTACTTTGTTGTTCATGAAAGCTTTCAAACATCTGACACATTCGTATGTACTCTTCCTCTCTGTCTTACTGAAAAAGAATCACACAAAGGATGGAACAGTCAATTCACAAACAAATGTCACAGACAAATCAACAGTAGTAAATGTAGAACCAACTACAAAAGTAAAACAGAAATTAAAGGAACGCCCCATGTTTTATTTTTAGAATTGCAATAACCACAAAAAAGAAAAAGAAAAAGAAAGAGTTTAGTACTTTTCTTTGTACAAAGTTTGACAAATGCAAGGTAAAGATTGAAAAAAAAGCTTTGAAAACTTATACTTCTGCTAAAATATCTATGAAATGAAATTCATAACATCTTTATTTGGAGCATGCATATACTCTTAAATCAACTTTCATTTTCAGGTTTGTGAAATTACAAAATAAATCTGCAAGATGAAATCTGAAAATTTTTTATGACTGCTCCATATTTTTAGGGGAAAACTATGCTCGAAAATTTTTAATGTTAGGGATGCACATATACATACATGGACTGTGCTTGAATAACAAACTAGGAAAAATTTTTGGTTTTTTTTTTTTTTTTTAATTATTCATGATATGGATTGCTTCAATCAATACTTATTTGTATCTTTTCTCTTGTTACTACATTTTATCAATATCATCTTTGCTTTTCTATGTGTATCACTATAAAACTATAATGTGTAAATCTTTGTAAATGTTGTAAGGCTACATGCATTAAGATTTTATGCATGGGGGAGGACTGCCTAAATTTTTGGAACTTGAGTTCAATTCTTTTGACTTGTCAATAAATATGTTCAAACCAAAAACTCAAAAACCCTTTGGCCACTTATCAAGACAAGCACAACATCAGAAGCAAATCTGACAGACTTAGAGACAAATAAAGTGATAAACAATGGAAGGCGGACTAAGAAAAGACTTGTAGTAACAAGGGAATGGACTTGAAACAAAAATGTACCGGTATTCTAAAAAACACAGATCAGATCAGTTTCGTATCAGAACACCCTAAATGACTATTCATTCAAAGTAGGCCAAATACCTAGTTATATATAAACTTGAAAACAAGTCTGCTTCAGTAAGGTTATCCTAGTCTTTCCTCTAGATTATACACTTATAATGCATGTTGGTCAGTATGTATATTTAGATACAAGCATGTTTGGTCCCCTCTCATTACTGGTTGCATTAACCATTGCTACACTTAACAGTACAGATTAAATGAAGACACTGGAGGTATTACTTACGAGTCACAGCAATAGGTCAAGTTCCGTAGAATTCCATTAAGACCATCCAGTCCAAACTCAACCACCCAGCTGTAAAAGTACACAAAGATATATCATAGAAATCAGAATTACAGGTTTATTCATCAAATCTAATCTTAGGTGCAGCAGTACTCTCAAAATACATCACTCAAGAAGTAGGTCAATTCCAAAATATAAACCATTACAATATACAATAAATATGCTTCTATTGTAAGTTTTGTGACTTAGTGCTGAGTGACTTATATATCTACAAGAATCAAATAATAATAAACACCCACCTGACAGGGTTACTTGTCAAGGACACTCGTAGAGATTCTAACACTCGCAGACGCTTCTCTCCCTTTAAATCAGCATTACGGAGCTCTGCCACAAAGTTCTGCGGTGTGTCCAGATCTCTCTGTTTGGCCTACAATTCAAAATGTTTGTATAAAATCTTGGTAAAAATGTACTTTTCCTTCTGTGAATTCTATTTATTTTATAGTCTTGCCTTCAATGATTCTTTCAGAGCCCCTGATAAGAGTTGTACAACTGATCAGGAAACATGATTTCCTTTTTATTTTTTTAATTTGACTTATCATCTGTAAAATATTTTTGTGATGCATATATATATATATTTTTTTTTTTATAAAATATTAAAAGTACTATTATCTAGATTTTATGAATTACTTATGCCTCAAGTCACATTATCAGTATTTTAAGTCACAATAACATTCATATAAGTAACACACAATCAGATCTACTGTATACAGGGTTATTTTTGCCCTGTGTTATTTACGTTCTTTCACACTTCCAAACAAGTTTGCTCTGTTTTAAATTCGCCCAGTCACAATTCTATTAAAGAAATTATGTTCCATTTTTTTAATAATTCTGCCCGTTTTAAACTCACCCACTTAAGAGCAGGGCGAAAATAAATCGGGGGTGAAAATTTCCCTGTATACACTATTTATTTATAGATGACAACAATGAGGATGACCTTGACTGCTGTGACCTGCATGGACAGCATGTTTTTCTTGGCAGGTATATCCCAGGCTCTCAGTGGGGCCTTCTTCTCTTCTGTCAGGTTCATGTCGTCCTACAAATAAACGAACAGCAGCATTAACCATCTTAATCATCCTAGAAATCATTGTTCTATTAAACATGTTAAAAGAAACAAAAGATTTTTTTCTATTTAAAATGATACGTTTGTTGTGCTTATTCAACCTTAAGATGATCAACAATTAGAGTGATCTGTATTTTAATTGAAAAAATATTTTCCTGTTGGTCTCTGACATAAAAATGAATTGGAAGTGAAGTAAAAAAAAATTCCCTTCTGGAGCAAATTGGCATGGAAACAATGTATTTTATCTTTGAGCTTTGCATTTTACCTTGACCTTACTTTTATATCTGGTTCATTAGCAAGATATGACAAATAAAAAGACTTTATCTGAGTTATGGTCAAATTAAAGTTTGTAAAGAAATGCAGTTATCAGGGCTGACCTAATTCAATGTACCAGCTACATCTTATTTAGGTTAACACAAAACTGAGAGGAGAAGCAGCAGGGTAATTTTACTGTAGCTGGTATTTTATGAAAACATTTTAATGTTGCATTCTAAATTCCTATAATCTCCAAGGGGTGTCAAGTGTTTTACTTCCTAAATCAGTAAATGGAGCAATCTCAGTAACTTATCATGTGGAGAGATGTGAGGGTGCTTTTATGTTTAGGTTTGTCTCCTTAATACACTTACCGGTATTTATAGGTAACAAAGGTCACCAAGACAAAAGAGACTCCTAGAAATTCATCAACTAATGACTAATCTTCCCACTAATATCTTAAGCTAATATCGTAACTACATGTATTTCTTTTCCAATTTCAGACCCTTTGCTATCTCTCTCTTTTCTATCTCTCTCTCATTTTCAGAACATTATAATGATATTTAAATGATAAAAGTGGTTTCTGAATCACATCTGTTCCAATTACCATGATTACAATGCACTGTGAGTAAAAAAAAATCTTCTATTATAGATTTCTTTTTATTATTCAAGAGTATCATTTTGTTGTGGTAAATTAACATAAAACCACAATAAGTATAGCAAAACATTATAACTCAAGCATTAAGTGCTGCATCAATTATGCAGGCATTCACATGTTACGTGGTGTATCTTAAATATTTCACACCGAGTCATCATCAGACAATTTTAACAAGGAACTATGCTATTTCCGCCCCCTTATTATAGTCCTTCACATCTAAATATATTGTTGTCATTAAGTTAGGATCAGTGAAAGTCTCGTGCAATACTCACTGGGGAGCAGGAAGTTAAAAGTTCCTGTCATAATGACATTTAATAACTAATTAATTACAGAAATTAAAAAATTCCTGTCTCAAGATGAGAACATTTTTTTATTTGATGCTAGTCATGCTACAAGTGACTAAAATCTCCAAACTGTATCCGAGTCCTCTGTAAAATCAGCTGCAGTCAGAGCCGTGTGACTGCTTTTGGATATTTATCATTCTATGCTTCACTTCTTTGAAAAAACATTTTGATAATAATTTTATCGATCAAGATATATTTTCCTGTATCTAGCAGGTCAGAGTGACCTTTGACCCACCACTCTGAGGAATCTTTTTAGTTTTCCTTTATCATGACTGTTTATGACAGAGCACGGAGATCAATAGCTGACCATACAAGTCTCCAACATAATGAGTCTTCTGTACAGAATACAAAAGGTATTCAGCCCAGAAGGAGGACCCATATTTCACACAGGATGCTACCACCATCAATCAGAATCTCACCTGGCCGATCAGCCAATCATGTGTGCAAACATTTTTTTATTACATGAAGACATTTCAAGCTTTTAGCTAGCTGAGTTTTGTCACTGTGACTTAGTTAAAGTTTAGTGTCAGGCACCTGCTATGTCTGTTAAGCTTGTTATGCAATAAACATTAAAGGGTCTCTCTATCTGAATATTATCCAACAATGTCAAAGTACTGATAAAAATAAGGAAATATCTGTGCTTGCTATAAACACAGACATAATAGGGAAAGTTCAGAGACCCCCAGTGATCTGTTTACCACTACAACTCCTATTACAGTGTGTATTATATGAAGAGGCATGCAGGCAGACTCAGATGTGTCACTGTCTTCACAAGTTGCATGTCACAAGAGCACTCAGTGTTAAAACACACACACCCTTACAAATTCTTATAAGGTTATTGTCATCAGCCAGTTGCAAGATACTTCAAGTAGATGACAAGTTATGTGTATCTAATACAGTGTCCACAAAATGTGTGTATGCTCACATATATTTCTACTCAAACTTTATTTTACGGAATGATAAAAATGACTAGAATTATACAGCATCATACCCCTGCTGATCCTGGATCACAAGTATGCCCCATGATCTCCTAAAAATACACCGTTATCTGATTTTCATAGCAAAGACTGTGCCAAAAGAACTACATGTAACAGAAAAAAACAACAACAAATTTATTGCAGAACATAATTCCACCAAAGTTGTGTTTTTATCTAACTCCCAGTATAGCTAGTGTTGACTGCTAGTGTTCTGTTTTCCATTTGATGGACAAATTGTCAATAAACATGACTAACTCAGTATATATATGCCCAGGGGGAGGAAGAAATCCATCAAATCCTCAACAGGTACCAAGCTCAGGGGTTACCTACTGTTTTCAATTTAAACTTCTGTTCAAGGATTAATTTTTATCATGTAAATGGAGATTTTGGCTGCTTAACTGGATATAAGGGATGAGTCACAATATAAATAACTCAACTCAGCTCATAAACAAGCTGTTTACAGAACAAAAATTATATACTGTTATATAGTAATGCCAAGTCTTGGCCGCATGATAATTTAATAAATCCCAATTAGCAGGTTAATTTTTTCATAAATCTAAGACAACCAAATACACGACAAATAATCTAGATTAAAAGAAAATGTCCGTGTAATTATGAGATCATTGCTTAATTTGCTTTGTAATTGTTTGGTTATTTGTTAATTTTTTTAGTTAGGGGAAGGTTTAGGGTTTATTTTTTTTGCAAGATGTCTTCCTAGATTAAATTTGTTGTTAGAATCTTTAAGTCATCAATAATGAATTATTAAAGGAAATGAAATCTTTAATACAAGTTCCCATTGTGTCAATGCAGGTAACATTTGTGATGCTGAGACAAACTACCTTCAGGAGCTACATAATAGGACTTAATTCTCTATTGATTGGTGGATTTAACATAATATACAACTATTTCAATTGTTGACTTTAGTCATCAGCTCACTCTGAATCATTTACAATGTTCAACAGAAGTTAATCAGCATTGATTTTTCCCACTGAATCACAAAACTGCCATAATAATGTTTTAACTAGTGATGCCACAGGGACATCTGACAAGTTCTGTGAATTATCTAGTGTACACACACCAAAAAATGTCTTCCTAATGTGTAGCATATATCATGCTTCAATACCATGCATTTTACTTAAACCTAGTTCTAGGGACTATAACCATGAATAGTGATAACGCCATTAACGCAAAATGCTTTCTTTGGTTGTTGCATGGGAATTAATGTTCAGTTGTTGCCCCCCCCCCCCCATCCCCTTCAAAAAAATAAATAAATATTGAAAAAAAATTAGATATATATATACACACTGAATTGACAACAGATTTTTAAATTATTTTCTGATCATGACAAGAAGCAAACGGCAGGTGTGACCAGTCGACAGGGGATGCTCACTACTGCATGGCACCTGATCCCACCTCTGATGTTTTAGAGTTCCGTGTTTGCTCTGCTTCTATTTTGTATTGTTTAATAGACTTCTGGGCTTGATCAATTTTTCATGATTTCCATATATTTCATTAAGGTATATAAATAAAATAGCCCTTGCAAGTGGGTCATGTATTTTTTAACATCTCTGATGAACAGATATGTTGAATAAATGAAACCAATAGTATATATATAATTTTTATATCAATTGTGTTGTTAAAAAAATATGTCATGTTTATAGAGGGATTTGTTAAGTACTTCATAGGTTTCAAACTCCAAGTTAAGTGCTTGTTTACTTACACTTAAGATGCTAATGTCATGAAACAATAACAAAAATTCTCAAACATATCACAGCTTATATTTTGCTGGTTCACACAAACTCAACTCAAAATAAGTTCAATGTACAATATACACAGTTTTTTCATAATCCATTTAATATATGAAAACCTAAAGAAAAAAAAATGAAATTAAATACATACCAGCAGCTTCTCAAATCTTTCGAGGACCTCCTGGTCTGACAATGTGCCAATGTTGTCCTGTGAAGGTCCAAACCCGTAGGGTGCCCCATTGGTGGTCTCTGAGTCCCCAGACGAGGGGAGACGACTGGACCACGTGGCAGCTTTGATGTCTTTTTCTTTTGGTTTTGAGGATTTGTCTTTCCCCATCCTTACAGTACTGCGTACCACCTTGTCCAACTGAAATACAATGCTCCTCATGATAAACAAGAAAAGACTCAGTTTCTGATTTTCCAATTAATAAATTTTGTGGTTTCATTCAGTTCATGACCAAAAATCATACAAAATTTGAGATGTAAATGTATAGCAAATAAAAATTAGAAAATTGTTTTTGGGTGTATAAGATTAGAATAAATACAAGTAAAAGCTTAAATGATATAAAGTGATACACAGGTGTAGTTTTTGTACCAGGGTACAGTACTATATTTGTGTGTGTGTGTGTATTTTGAGTTATTACGATACACCGTTAACCATGTTAACCATATTCTCCATTGAGAAGTTGATGGCTTATCTTCCCTAGTCACCTGGTGGCACAGCGGTAGAGCGTCTGCTCAAGAATCGCAGAGTAAGGAGTTGATCCTTACGTTGCAAGTTGAAACTGAACTTGAAGACCAGTTCCATACTGAGGCTATGTATAGCAGTAGATCTCTCACTGTTCAGTAGTCCCGAATCCCAATTATAGGTCAATATTTGCAGCAATACACCAGCAAGTGGTGCAGTATACATTTTGGCATGAGTGAGAAATTTTTGCGAGGGACTTAAAGCAGCAAAGAAATATAATACTCATCATCAACATGATCAAGTCAAGTTGAGAGGGAATATTAAAACGAGCCAATCAAAGCCACTTCTCAGTAGGGAATACCATAAACAAGGAAAACTAAATAGACTTGTGCTAATGCTGTCTTAAATAAATATGAATTTTTCAAAATGTAAAATAAATTCACACACTTATTTTAAAATCACGAAAATCAAAGAATAATATTATTGTTAGAGTCTGGAAATTGAATTGAAATGGATTGATTACTTCATATCAAGTTTCTGTCTTTCTGTCATGTTTTATATAGAAACTTTTAAGCATTCACCTCATCCATTACTTGATTAGATCTATGACTTGTGCCACTGTTTAATTTTCTACTTTAAATTTTTTATCCTCTTGAGGCCTATAAAGTTAATTTTAAAATGTTGACAGAAACCCAAAGTATATGATTAAATAAAGTGAAATATATACTTACGAAACTATTTCGCTTATTCTCCTTTTTGTCCATGATTCTTCACATTAAAAACTTAAGTTGACAGATTTAAAACATAATCTCTATCAGTCTCGATTCAAACACAAAATTTGCCAAACGGACTAAGAATTATTGAAATAAAGTACATTTTATCCAATTCGTGGCACAACAAAATGAACATCAAATTTAATTCTTTTAAAAATTTCCTTCATTGATCTATTGAAAGTTATAATTCCTGTTCAATAAACAATTACTTCATCTTTTCTAATAAAAGGGCCACCTTCAACTCACTTCTTCCGCCATGTCTATTTACCAACTTCAAATATTTTAACCAATCGGGGAACATTTTACAATTCACCGAAGGCATCGTGTAAAAGCAGACTCCACACAATTCAACAGAAAAAAAGTTTGATTGTTCTGTTCACCCGTTCATATAATTAATCTAAAATATTTTTGTGACTTAAACTTAAAGAAAATTTTTATATCTCAAAGACAAAAAATAAAACTCTTTATTTAAGAAGAAACATCATGAACATCAGACTTAATTTTTACCCTTCTTTTACCTAACGTTTTTTCCACATGTTGAAAGTTGCAATCAAGAATATGACAGTGACAGGAGAATATTAAGATAAAATCAAGATAGCATCATTAGAAATTGAAGATGACAGCTATTACAAAATTAAAGGATATGGGCTGGTAAATAGTACATAGTATTTTTTAATGAATCATTTGAAGAGTTCTTGGAAAAATAATTAATTTTAAAGGTATGAAAATTTAGGTATTTTTCTTTCTTTTTTGAGGTATTTGACTGCTGGTGGAATTGAGGAATGTAGTGCAGAAAATGAGAATCCTCCTATCAACAGAATAACAGAGATTGCTAAGGATGTAGGTTACACATGATATGTCATGGTGTTAAAATGTTTTTTGTCGTTTATTGCTCATTCCAAAATTTTTCACTCATATATTGAGATACCAAAACTTGAGAAGATCTGTTCTCGGCCTTTAGACAGTGAGGGATCTTTTTTGTGCCAGCACTTACTGGGACATGGGACCATCGCCTCGGTTCATACAGTTTATTCGATAGGACCAGTCTCGATCATGTTGCACAAAATTATCCTTACAAAAGTGGACAGGCTTTGGCCTACATCCACTTCTCTTCACAAACCTTCATGTTTTGAATGTGTACCGGTGGATGATTTTATACAAAATGTATTTTTACGTTATAAATTGGTTCATTTATCCGGACGGTAAATTTTAATTTGTACTTCCATTCTTGTCACTGGCCGGATATATATGTATGTGACTTACGATGATTATTAAGCATGCTATGGATACGTCATAATATGAAAATAAACAATTAACTGTGTCTGTATTTTCTATTCAGTTATTTGTTATCTGCGAGATATTTATAATTTTAGTATGGTATATTTTTCTATTTATAGACGCTATAATCTCGTATTATGTGCACACACAAATCGGTATTGTAATTTTCATCTGTTGGTGGCAGTTATCATCGAAAAAAAAACGTAAAACATTTAATAAAATAAAATAATTTTAGACAATCAATGAATTACTGCGTGAATTTTTATTATGTCAGATTTAGCGTTGAGTGTTCAAATTAAAATAAGACATTTGACAGCTCGCTTGGGTGTAAATGAGAGAATTTGCTTGGTTATGTTCATCAATTTATAGGAAGTAGAAAGTAAAAACTAAGCTGGGTAATGAAAAATCTGCCCATATAAGCAGCGTTATATATATCCAATGTTTGTCCTGCTGAGCGCTACAACCATGTCTACACCACCGGCAAAGAGAGCGCGAGTTTTTATTATATTTGAAAAAAAGTATAAAAGTAATGCTGATTTATACTAAAGATATAGTGATTATTTCTATATGATAGCATTTATCATTCTTTATATGTAAGACAATGCCAATACATATACCTGTCTGTTGATGGCCTGACCACCGTGATGTTTATGCATTACATTTAACGTTGGGTTCGTTGCCGACTTTGCGCGTGTGTCAGGCCGTTCTGGACAATGCCCATACGTCTGTTGATGGCCTGACCACCGTGATGTTTGCAACGACCAGGGTACAGTACGAGACTGACAATTCAGCGAGTAGGTACTGTAGATTCCTAATTATACGCGAGGAATTAATTATCGCGTAATTTCGCGAGAAGCAACACTCACGAAATGAAATTACTCGCTTTTATTTTTTTGTTGCTGAAATCCATGTAAATTCTACTGATCAAGCGTCCATTCGCGAATTATTATTCTCGCGATTTGACGTTAGAGAGCCGTCTCGCGATAATAAGTACTCGCGAAAAATAAGGAATCTACAGTATCCACCATCCCCTAGACTTTTAATATTGTACTTCACTGTGATTATTTATTTATTTATTTATTCTATTTGATAAACCTTTGTTAACCTTTATACAAGTGTTTCTCTCTGTAAATCACTGAATCTGGATTTATGGAAACGTATAGGTTTCCCGTTACAAATGTCTCTGGAAAACATGTAAAATGCAGAGCCTGTGACAGCCTACAGTTCAACTAATATCTTGTCTAAAACATGTCTGATTATACATAGCAGACATGTTATATTAACAATTTTAACATAAATAAACTTAAATCGGAGTGCTTTGTACTGAAATCATTTTACCAATTAAAATCTGTATTTATGAAGAGATATACTTTGTACTTAAACTTTACATAGACCTATTAGTAGTTATGAGATGTAGTTTGTTTTTTATGACTTGTACTTTGTTCTGCTGTTTCAGACTGATCTGAAGGATATCGGAGATGATGCGCTTTGTTTTTATGACTTGTACTTTGTTCTGCTGTTTCAGAGTGATCTGAAGGATATCGGAGATGATGCGCTTTGTTTTTATGACTTGTACTTTGTTCTGCTGTTTCAGACTGATCTGAAGGATATCGGAGATGATGTGCTTTGTTTTTATGACTTGTACTTTGTTCTGCTGTTTCAGACTGATCTGAAGGATATTGGAGAAAGATGGCTCCCAGCAGATGTCAACAGAGGAAAATGTGAATATGTGAGTTCTCATTTACATAGCACAAAGTGATAGCATGAAGCAGATTGAGAAAAAAAAAATATTTGTGCCTTTTATGTGAGACATATTTATCATTTATTAGTTGGACCATTTTAAACCTTATCAATGTTTTTTTAAATCAGAATTTACACGCACATATTTCTTTATTAAGGCTTTTTTTAAAAATAAGTAATGGGGCTCTGAATTTCAAGGCAATAGATCAATCTATCAAACAAGGCATGTATAATATCCATGCAAATTGTTATTGATTTGCAATTACCTTAATGTAAATTAAATATTGCAATTTTTTTTTCTTCTTAAAATTAGGTTCAAGGACCAGGGGTTCTTCAAATTCAGAAGATTCGCAATGTAACTGCTCCAAAAGACAATGAAGAGTCAAACTATGCTCCCCGCATGTTGAAGCTGGTTTTGACCGATGGTCAAGCAACATGCAATGCATTGGAAATGGAGAAACTAGAAAGAATTAGGTATGATGTCATTTTTAGAGAGGAATATTATGAAATCAGTTCTTACAGTATAACAACGATTTAACAGTACATATTTTTTCTTTTGAAGCTTAGACACTCCACCTGGTAGCAAGATATGTTTGAAGGGGAAAGTAGAAGTTGAACACGGCTTCCTAAAGCTGTATAATCGGAATGTTAACTTCATTGGGGGAAGGGTGGACAGAATCGCTGATAACTGGGAACTGAAAAAGGTAATGAAAAAAGTACCAGTTTAAAATTACAGGTGAATCAAGATATCTCAAGTTCAAGAAACATTTTAAAAAGTTTTAGAGATAGAGGGGCTTGAAAGATCACTCGGAAATGAAATCCAGAATTTTCAGGTTCAACCATTATGGTTCTATTGTTATGTATATGAGAACAGAGATGTATACATTGAAAACATTCTTGTTTTTTTTTAATTAGTAATTCTTGACTTCAAACATTTTGACTCTTACCCATGACTTTACGGTTTGACCCACATTTGAAAAAAAAACTTGTATGGCTTTGAACTGCCATCATACAGGGACATTGATGTGTCACAATCACATCTTGTTTTTACAGAAATTATCGAAGCAGACCCGAGTTTATGTGGGATCTGAGGGAGGTCCACCTCCTTTTATTCCATTTGGACAAAAACCAAGAGATAGCAAAACAACAACAGTAAAAAGGGGTATATATAAAATTCTTGTATTATGTTACTTTAATACAATGTATGCTCTAGAAAAAAATTTTTTTGTCTTTAATAGAAATTCACATTCATGGGATTTTATATGGTCGTAACGAAGAAGATATTTATAAAACAAAAAAAACTGTATTTTATGCTTTGCTTAACTCTTGTTAAATAGAAAACCAGAACTTTAAATCCCTGGAAGTTTCAACAAAAGAGAAAAAGTCAGAGGATGATGAATTTGAACAGCAAAGAAAAGCTACAATTGCCGAAGCTCTTCAGGCAAAGGAAGAAGGAAAAGCTATTAACTTTGGAGGTCAAAAACAGGTCAATACACTTTCAATCAAAGATCTGTATAATTTGTATATAATAAATGAAATGTATAATTTCTCATTACTCAAGTTTTAATTTTTACCTCAGAAGGAGCTCATGCTCTGTAGTCAGCAGTATTCTAATCAAGATCACTACTATATATAAGCTCTGTTTGGATCAAACTTGCATCTTGGGCTGGATTCTATCAGAATTACATGATATCTTGTATTTGATATTTGTCTGACAGATGGGCCAGGATAAGGATATTGCTCGGATTGTTGAGATGGGGTTCACGGCTCAGCAAGCCAACCAAGCATTAAAACAGAGTAATGGAGACGTCAATCAGGCCATTAACGGGTTACTGAGCAATGACAGGAGGGCGGGGGGTGAGTTTGGAGGGAGGAAGGACCGAGGGGGAGAGGGGAAGCGAGACATTCCCACCAGAGAGGACAGGAGGGAGAAAGGTCTGTTATCAGCTAATAACATCGCACTTTGTAATTGGGTATATAAAATAGTGGAATTATTTTCTCTCTTTATTCTAGGATATTGAAAGGTAACATTTTGATTGAGATATCTCAGTGTCTGTGTTTTATTTTTGTGTTTATGGCAGGTGGCAGAAATAATAGAAATCGAGATGATGTAGAAAATGAGGAGTCCAGACCATCAGGGCCCACAACTCTGTTTGATTTCCTAGAAACAAAAATTAAACCTTCAAAGGATGAAAAAGGTAGGGAAATAGAATTTTAACTTTGTCATATACTTTCTATAATGCAACCACAGGATTTTTTGTTAATAATTCTGTGTTACAGATACAAAAGGAAAGCCAAAAGGTTCCCAGCCTTTACAAAGCTATGATTACTCTGACAATAGATCTGGTGATAATAGGGGTTATAACAATAGGAGAGAGCAACAGGCAAAATATCAGGATCCTCCCCCCAGGTCAGGAAGAAATGACAATAGAACTAACGAACGGAGAGCAGAATCAAGACAGAATGATCGGTCCAACTGGGACAATAAACCAAGTTATAATTCAGACAAGCAGTCCCGAAATAACACTCGGGAGAAGTCATATAATGAGAGTGGTAGAGGACAGGGATTCAATGTAGAGAAATCCAACAAGAATGAAAGTAACCAAAGGAGAGACAGAGGTCAACAGAGAACGTCAGATAAAGGGGGCTACAATGATAGGGGTGACAGAAGTGATAGGGGAGGTAATCCAGAGAGAGGGGGCTACAATGAAAGGGGAAATAGAGAGAATAGAAGTGATAGGGGAGGTAACCCTGAACAAAGACCGTCAGACAGAGGGAGCTACAACGAGAGGGGAAATAGAGAGAATAGGAATGATAGGGGAGGTAACTCAGAGAGATACAGCGATGGTAGACCTAAAACTGGGTATCAAGATAAGCGACAAGGAAAGGCACAGGACTACCAACAGAATCGACCGAGATCAGAGATGTCTAATCGTGATTCAAGACAAGACTCTTCTTATCAGAATAAGCGAAATCAGCCTCCTTCCTCCGGGGAAATGTTTGAGTCAAACATGCAGTATAACAATCAGTATACAATGCCCCAAGCCTCAATGCCACAGTTTAACCCTGGTGTCCCACCTCCCCCACTTCCTCAACAATTCAACACATCAGTGCCAAATCAAGGGGTAAGTTTCTTATCATTGCCAAATCCTGGGGTAAGTCTCCTATCTGTGCCAAATCAAGGGATAAGTCTCTTATCAGGGGCTAATCAAGGGGTTAGTCTCTTATCAGTGTAAAATCCATGTGTAAGTCTCTTTTAAGTACCATTGATCCAGAGGTAAGTTTCTTAACAGTACCATTGATCCAGAGGTAAGTTTCTTATCAGTACCATTGATCCAGGTTTAAATCTCTTATCTGTGCCAAATCCAGGGGTAAGTCTTATGATTGTCAAACCCAGGGGTAAGTCTGTCATCAGTGTAAAATTATTATTTATGCCAAATTAAAATGTCAAGCTAAAAATGGATATCACTAATTGCTTGTAAAACGGATCTTTTTTTAACAACAGATAGTGATTAAATGATTTATATATATAGTGCAGTGACCTTGACTCAAATCAAACTGATTTACTGTAATTTTTACGAGGTACAAGTTTGAAGTCATTCAGTTACTATTAATTTGTTATAGGTTTATAACACAACATGGAAGAGAGGAGATAGGTGCATGGCCAAGTATTGGGAAGACAACAAGGTCTGCTATAGACATCTGAGTACAAAATTTGATTCACTAATGGCATGATGTGTCAATTTATTACCAGTGTAGACAATTTCCAGTGACCGATATATTTTTTGGTTTGTAATTTTAGTACTATCCAGCGGTTGTGGAGAATTATGATCCACGGTACCCTACTGTGGTTGTGAACTTTACAGAGTACGGTAACTCTGAGGAAGTCCGACTGAGTGATGTCAGACCTGATCCACAATTCTTGGTGAGTGTCTACTGTATTTTATCCCAGTACAGAATCATGAAAATGCAATACTTAGATACCTTTATGGATACATGCTGCCGTAAGATAACTTATTTTCATTCATCATTCTTGTTAAGAAACTGAAACGGGCTTGTTTATCAAGAAATATTCTTAAACGTGAAAAATGGCAATCTTTAAATGGAAATAACCTGTGTGTGTGAGCATAGAGTCATGTTAAATGACATATTTTTCTGTATATATAATTGATTTGTCCTTTAGGAATCTGGAGGAAGCCTAGGACCCCCTGCTCTACCTCAACAACATGGATCATCCAGCAATTCTCAAATCCGATCCATGGAGTTCCATCGCAAGCGGACGGATCAAACCGACAGGCAGCAAACGTTCTACCAACCACCGAATCGCCAGCCATTATACTGAGAGACAGAGGGAACTACCACTAAAGTGAACGATTCACAAATAGGATTGGAACATACTGTTCCATACATTTTAAAAAACATTTCATGATAAACCAGTGTATTTCTGTGCAATTTATTGTAAAATTCAATTTTTACTTTTGAATTATATCCTGGTAAAACCAGATAAGTTAATAAACTTATTAGTAGTTTTGATTGTTATTTATTAAAGTGTGATTCAGTTATGGTCGAACACATCATATGAATGGATAAAAAATTAATTTTTGTATCATATACCTGTATAACTTGTTGCCTACATGTAGACTTGGGTCAGAAATGTATCATTCTGCTTGATGTGCTCAGTTTGAATGTGTTTCTAAAGGGGAAAGGAGAAACTGACTTATTCTCTAAATTCATGATGAAAATTTAATTATGGAATGAATTAAAAAGCTACCCAAGTTATACTATATAATCTAGGTTGGGATAGTTTACACTTTATAAACCGAGAAGCATCTTGCTAGCAAATATGGAAAAATCCTCTCTAGCTTAATATAAAAAACAGAGGTACAATCATTTAAACTTGGTCAATTACTGCATTTTAGATAAAAAGTTGTGGAAAGCTTTCAACGTGATAGAACACTGGGTTTTCTTTGTATATAAAGAATACGCATTTCTCTTGAAACCTGTAATGAATTTTTCACGATTAATATCAATGACCTTGAATTTGCTGGAATATCTGGTCAAGGTCATTAGACAACATAGGTCATTAACAATTGCTGTAACAAGTAGGGGCTTCTAAGGATTCTCAATTAAAAGTTCAATCCAGGAAAAGAATTTTATACTTTTCTGCCAATGACCTTAAACTTGCTAGTAAGACCTTGTTCCAAGGTCAGGACAAATCAGAAAAACATTTGCAATCTTTGTACAAAGTATAAGCTTTCAGCGATTCTTCATTACAGAGCCAAAGTTTAAGCATGGAGAGGAATTTTTAGCTTACCTCAGCAAATTTTTTTTTGGGGGGGGGGGGGGGGAGGAGGAAGGGAGCTTGTGTGATACTCTAAGCATAGGCACCCCAGATAAACGTTTTTGAAGCAGTTATCTTTTGAGCACTTTTATGCCCTACATAAATCAAAGATGCATGGAAGATGCTCCTAGTACCAGTGTATTTCATTGTACCAGTAAAGGTTTCAGATGCTAAATTCAGGACTAAATTTTCTAACCTTAAGGTAAGTCACTCCTGAAATTTGTTAAATCAAGGATTTTTGGAGAAGTATATTTTGGATAAGTACTCATAAAGTGTAACTCAAAATCGCAAAGAAAATGGGGGTTAGTGTGAATCTTACTGAGCTACGGTACGATTAAATTGACCTTTTTGCACTTAAATTGTAATACTTTGATTAATTACCATAATCTTTATTACATTTCCTCAGGTGTAATTATGGCAATAAATATAATCTTATTTTACGTAAAATAGTTTGAATAATATTTATCATTAAACAAATCTTGCAAATTAATGCGCGTAAATTATTGCGTGACCTTTTTGCACTAAAAAAAATAACATATTTTGGGGTATTAAAAACTTAATAGGCAATAAAAAATTTCTTATATCAAACTTTTTACAACTTAAGTGCTGATCAGTCACACATATCGAGTAGTTTAAAATAATGAAAGCAAAAGGTGGGGTCAGTGATGTTAATTTTGAAATATTTGTCAAATTATGTGATTTTCAGGAAAAATATGGTGTAAATTTGATCTTGACTTCTTTAACATATTTTCATTTTTTGGAAAAGTTTGTTGAGGGAAGATGTAAAACTTAATCTAAAAATATAAATTAAGACCTATATTAAATATTTTTAGCAATATCAAAAAGGAAAATATTCTCCGAGTAAAAGTATGTGAGACTAAATTTCCATTACATTAAATTTTATAAATGTGCAGATTTGCAGAATTTTCTGCTAAATATCCTTCCACTAAAAGAAATAGTCCCTCATAAATCTTGCTTCTTTGTAGATTTCTGAGCATTTTTTTCATTGAATGTTTAAAAATTGACATTGTTGAATTTAAAAATGTTATAAAAATTAAATTTTAATAAGTAGTTTTGAAGTAAAAGCTTCTGCGTGAACTTTTCTAAAAAGCTGACGAGTGACTTACCTTAAATATTAATTGTTTATAAAATACCCTGATATCATTTTAAAGCATTTTAGGGTAGAAAGGGATTTACCAAGAGAAATTTTCAAAAATAATTACCTAAGCAGGAATTGATCATTGAAGATTGCATTGAAGTCTATGAAAAGAAATGAAAAAATAAATGCTATGAATTTCAATAAATGCTGGAAAGATGTATTTGATCATTAGGAATAGTCAATTCAGAATTAAAAATTATTTTTTTACCAGATAGATTTCATTAGAATTGATTTTTAGCTCTTCTGGGCCAAAGGCTCAAAGAGCTAATGCTATGGCCATTTGTGCGGTGTACGTGCGTAAACTTTTTAGAATATGGGCCATAACTCAAGAACCCCTTGGCCAATCAGTGCCAAAGGAGTATATATGATAAGAACCAATTTTGGCCCCCTAAAAATCAACATTTTAGAATGACATTCAGATATGTTTTATTTATTTTTATTTTGTAGAGGAGATTATATTAGAAATATTTCCAATATATTTTTCATATTTTTATGCACTCACTAACTGTAAATGACATGAGAAATAATGCTATTTTTGCTTTCTAACAAAAAAGCCAAAAATATGCCTTTTTCTTGATGTTTTTTCTAATGGGAAACATAGAACGCAGTGTAGAACATACATAATTTTTCTGTCACATATTAGTATTGAATAGATACTTCTTTGGTAAAAATATAAATCATGTTCTAGGCTGCGCTCTATATTTCCTGAAAGAAAAACTGCTTGAAAATAAGCAGTTTTATACAAAATATGCTAAAATGGCGGGAAAACGTGATTTTATGATGTCATATTTCTAAAATAACGGCATTTTGATCGAAATGAAAATGACCAATGAAGGTCGCATATATAGCTGTACAAATTAAAGCTATATATAAAGTAAAATTAAGATATCCATTTTAAGGGGCCTATTGAGACATTTACCAAATATCGCTCTTTGTCACAGGGTATCCTTGGCCCAAGGGCTACTATTTATAATTTATACTAAAATAAGGGTTGGGACCCTCAAACAAGGGGAGATAATCAGGAAAACAAATCAAAAGTACTGGTTGCTAAAAAAATCTCCATAACCACTAGGCGGATTTTCACCAAACTTACATACAAGGATAAGGATATATCAAAGATTAAAATTTGCACGGGGAATTACCCTGGGGCAAAGGCCGTGGCCTCAAGGTTACTTCAAAGCTGACCTTAATTTAAACTTAATAAAAACGTTTATATTTTGCCAATCATGAAGAGTAGGATCATCAAATCTTGTAAGTTGTTGCGTCTTAGGACTTCACATCTGTTAGCTCAAAGTAGGTCACGGTGACCTACTTTTAAAATTTTGCGGGCATTTGTTTTCAAATTGATTTGAAGGCATATTTTGGACACTTTAAGGCCTATGATCATCAAACTTTGTCAGTTGATGCATCTTGGATCCTCAAACAATGTCAACTTAAAAGTAGGTCACCGTGACCTACTTTTTGAACTTTATGACTTATCCTTTTAAAAACATTTAATCCCATTATTTCAGACACTGGGAGGTTTAGAATCATCAAATCTTGTAAGTTGATGCATCTTGGGACCTTAAAACATATTTATTAAAAAGTCAGTGTGACCTACTTTTTGAATTTTGCCAGCATTTGTTTTCAAATTGTTTAAAACGCATATTTTGATTACCTTCAGACCTACAATCATCAAACTTGGTCAGTAGATGCATCTTGGGTCTTTAAAAAATGTCAACCAAAATTGGTCATGATGACCTACTTTCGACATTTTATGGCTATATTTAAGTATCTTAGGTATTTATTGGCTTAGAATCATCAAACTTTGTGAGTCAATGCATATTTGTTTTTGGGAGAGTGATGACCAAAAAGTAGGTCATGGTGACCTACTTTTGACATTTTATGGCTTTATTTAAGAATCTCCGGTACTAATTGGCTAAGAATCATCAAACTTTGTGAATTGATGCATATTGGGTTTTCGGAGAGTGACGACCAAAAAGTAGGTCATGGTGACCTACTTTTGACATTTTGTGGCTAAAATTTAGTATCTTTGGCACTTATTGACCTAGAATCATCACTTTGTCTGTTGATGCATCTTTGGGTTTTCAGAGATTGTAGTCCAAAAAGTGGGTCACAGTGACCTACTTTTGACATTTTATGGCTTTATTTAAGTATCTCTGGTACTTACTGGCTTAGAATCATCAAACTTTGTCAGTTGAGGCATCTTGGGTTTTCGGAGACTGACGACCAAAAAGTAGGTCATGGTGACCTACTTTTGACATTTTGTGGCTAAAATTAAGTATCTCTGGTACTTATTGACCTAGAATCATCAAACTTTGTCAGTTGATGCATCTTGGCCAGTTGGGTTTTCAGAGATTGTCGACCAAAAAGTAAGTCACAGTGACCTACTTTTGAAAATTTATGGCTATATTTAACTATCTCAGGCACTTATTGGCTACGAATCATCAAACTTTGTCAGTTGAGGCATCTTGGGTTTTCAGAGAATGTTGACCAAAAAGTAGGACGGTGACCTACTTTTGACATTTTGTGGCTATATTTAAGTATCTCAGGCACTTATTGGCTCAGAATCATCAAACTCTGTGAGTTGAGGCATCTTAGGGTTTCATAGAATGTCCACTAAGAAGTAGGTCACGGTGACCTACTTTTGAATATCTTAGGTACTTATTGCCTTAAAATCATCAAACTTTGTCAGTTTAGGCATCTTGGATTTTTGGATAATGTCGACCAAAAAGTAGGTCACCATGACCTACTTTTGACATTTGATGTCTATATTTAATTATCTCTGGTACTTATTGACTTAGAATTGTCAAACTTTGTCAGATGATGCATCTTGGGTTTTCGGAGAATGTTGACCAAAAAGTAGGTCATGGTGACCTAATTTTGAATATCTCAGGTGCTTATTTACTTAGAATCATCAGTCTGTCAATTAATGTATCTTGAGTCCTCAGAGAATTTCAATCAAAAGGTAGGTCACGGTGACCTACTTATGGTATTTTATAATTATATTTATAATATCTTCAGTCTTACCTGGCTAAATATTATCAAACTTTGTCAGTTGATGCATTTTGGGTCTTATGATACTAATAGAGTTGGAGGCGTCTAATAGAAGTGATAGATTGTACAATTTATCAGAAGAGCGATTCAAGGCCCTTGGGCCTCTTGTTATTGAGTAAAATCAAAGGAGGATAACTCTTCAAGGACAGGACAAGGTCATAGTTTATAAGATATATCTAAGGATGTACTCTACTTGACTTGCTTCGGTTGCTGGTTTTGACCTACTTTCTCCAGATGAGTGACCAGTTAAAGTTTTTGCTCCAGATCCATTCAAATAAGGCCTATCTGAACCAAACATAAATGGATGATGCATCAAAGGACGATTATTCTTTACCTTGGTACACATGCTAGATTTGAATTACATTTTCTGGATGAGTTACTACTTTAAAGTTTTTAGATAAGTTCATCAAATTTCAGTAATTAATGGAAAAACTTTGACTTTAGAATGCTTTATTATTTCTAAGTGATATCAAAACAATACACGTTATTATCCCTGCATCCTACAGTAAGTAAGCCTCCCACCACCACAGGAGAGGAAAATACCTCCCCGGGTAACTTGACTGAATTCACCTCTTGTCCTGTATCTGTGTCTATGATTGTTATTTTACCATCTTTTGAGGTGACCACACAATACAGGTATTTACACTGCATGCTTTCATAACTAAATTGATTGAAATCAGCTGTAGTGTTGAGAGTTCTAGACTTATTCATTTGATTCTGAGTGTTACTTGAGATCTTTAATCCACCTTCGTTTAAATTATTGTGGTCATTAGACCTGTCTCCAAAACAGAAACATGTGGCGTACACAAAGTCTGTTGAGCGATGTTTCCAGACTTGCTTGCCGTCAGGAGTCAGACAGTACACACAGCAGTCATGAGATCCCACCAGGATTAATGTACTGGTCATGTCAGAGGCAGTACTGACAGGTGCTACCAATGGGGATGAAAACACAGGTGCTGCAGTTGGAAAAATCCACACCTGAAAATTAATTGTAAAACTTGAAACGCAATAAATACACTACTTTTATCATTTGTAAACGGATACATTGTTACAAGAAACCTGAATTTGCTTTCTGCTACTGACCATCAATGTACAAAATAACTAGGTTGAGAACAAATCACATACTAAAATCACAAGTGAATGCTTTGTAAAATATGAGCTTCCCATATTAATACTTGAATTTAAATGTTTCACCATTTTCACCCACCAAATTTCCTAGGTGATCTAATTGATACAAATTGCCATCCACACATCCGACACACGGACCAGTGTCTGTTATAACAGGGGAAGAAAATATCGGCTTCTCTGTATTATACATCCAAATGATGCAGCCAGAAGTCTGAAGTAGAAATGTTCTAATGAATTTCAAATACCGGGGTATACATTAACTGGAATCAAGTAATTTAAATTACAATTCTCAAACAACTGAAAGTCTAGAATTTGCATGTTCATGTACCAGTATATTTAATTCATAAATAAGAAAAACTTCTATTTGTACATGTTGTGTAGAAATCATTTATATGAAGTTGGTTTTAAATCTAATATACTGTAAATCATTTTTTATTCGCGAGAACTTTATTTTCATGTAATTAAACGAGACAGTGTGCTTGCGAAAATTTAATTCTCGCGTATAATAGCATTCCTTAAGATTATATTCTAGCAATAACCACAATTCGTGAAAATATTGTATCGCTAATCAAGAGTCAATGACTTTCTCACGAAAATAAGGTGTCACGAAAATTTAGTGATCTACAGTACTGTATGCATAAAATAAAATATCTTCTACTTGTACAGTAATTACTTTTCTTTAATATGTTTTACGGTGTGACCGTTGGGGCGAGCGCAGTTTATTTACTATCATAAACCTACACATGTACTGTCTATCATTCAAGAAAAAGAAAGCAAAAAGAATAAAACAAAACAATAAAAAGAAATCATTTCCCAAGCATTGGGATCGAGATTCCAAACTTCACGGAAGAAATCGGAAATACCCGAACCGTTGAAGTGACGAAAGTATGACGTCAGATAAAAAGTTCTGTTGACTTAGGACGCAAACGCTACTTTTATGGAAAAGAGATTGCATTAAATCGTTCTTTTCAAGTAAGTTGTTGCTATGTTTTAGCCACCATGTTGCTATGTTTTCCGAGTTTCACGGAAGCAACCGACATAACTTCGTCAAAATTCGTAAGTTTCCGGTGACGTCATTTGTATCATTTCCGAAGGGCAAGGTGAAGGCCGGTGTTGTGGCATGGGGGTATTTTTTGAATAAGGTAAGGCAAAATCATTTCGTTAAGATTTCGGTAAGAAACAATGTTCCTTTAATTTTTTTACTATTTTTGATTTATTCGCGCAAAGGACATTGGGTAGTGCAAGAATTCTGGGAATGTTGCACAGAGAAATTTGGCTGACGTATGTACAGATTTCAATCCGAATTTCCTCTGTTCATACACGTTAGTCTATTGAGCTCGCTTCGCGAGCGTCGCTTCGAAACGCTCGCTGCGCTCGCTATAATGATTGCTTTGAAAATTAGAAATAAGATAAATATCTTTTACATGTATGGTAATTATGTTTCTATACAATGGTGACTTTGATATTAGAAATTGATATTAGATATCTTACAGGGTGTATGGCTGCTATGTGACCTGACAGGGAGCAGGCACTGACATAATGAGGGTCAGTAGACACCGCCGGGGAGGAAAACACACTACCCCCACCCACCTCTACTCTCCAATGGCATCTCTGGTCCTGTAATGAAATGTCAAACACAACATAAGCTAAGAATACTGGATAGTGACAGTAAGTATGTGAATAAAAGTAAAATCAGTTATAAAGAATGAGATGATTTCTCTAATGCATGTAGGGAACTGGTAAACAGGTCAAAAGTTTCATTACTATTAAACTTTACAACAATATTGCCATAGATTAGTTCACAAAGATAGGAAAATACAGAAAATGTGAAAGCTTTGGTAAATATATGTGGTTAATTTAAATATTCATTGAAGTCACATCATGTTTCCAAATATAAGATGCAAGATAAAGGTACTGATACATATATGTATGGGAAATGTACATTCTTTGAATTCCAACATTTACAGATTACCTAATTTTGGCTACATATTGCTACTGTACATGCTACCAAATAAATATCCATAAATTACCTCAATACTGAGTGTATGAACGTGGTGATCATGTGACCCTATAAATATAGCCATCCAGTGATGGGGTCCACTGCAGGAGAGCTCTTTACTGCTGATTTAGTTTTATACTGCCATCTGATGTTCCCAGTGTCTCTGGTCAGTGTATACACTCCACCATCATAACACCCTGATCAAACAATGTTTACTTCAATGAACACTTTTTCTTCATGCAGGTCAACTTTCAAATTAAGATCAAAATTTGGAAGAATTTAAGGAATAGGTTAGATTTGATTAAATTTATAGAGGTGGCTTGCATTCACAAAGTTTCTCTTATCTGACACAGTCTGCATGACACTACTGTTAAATAATTTAAAAATATATGCTTTTTACTTTTTCAATCTGGATTACTTATGTCCTTACCTACAACAACATATTTTCCACACAGACTGATACATGTTGAGGACTCAATCCTGTCCCCCAGCTGTGTCTTCCACAGAAGTTCTCCTGTCTCAGCGACCAGAGCATACATGTGATGGGAATGGGATCCAATGTAGACCTCATGGAACCCAGAACTGTAGTGAAAACAAAGCTTATGTAATGTATCTTAATGAGTTAATGTATCTCACTAAGAAGAAGGTACAGTTTCAATACAAAGTAAGCCCGATATTTTTTTAAAATATGAAAGTGATATATGAAAACAAAATTCATTCTTTCTTAATCATAGAAATTCCCTGCAGCAAGAATATACTAATCGTTTTTAAATATGACCTCCTTAATGCTAATTGTGACGCCATTAACTTGTGCATTTTCCTGTATTTTCTTAAAAAGTTGCAGAAGACCTCAATTTTCAGTGGAATTTTCTTCAAGAAAATATACTCTGCCACCGTCGCCCGGAAAGATTTTGAGATGTGTGATTTTTCATAACAGTTTACATAATATATCCAAAAATTAAAGTGGGCGACGATGGCAGACACTATTTTCAAAAGGAAAATAAGCTTAAAATGAGTCATTTTGAGGCTTTTCTGCATTAAACTTAGAAATGCACCAAATTAATAAGTCATACTACCAGAAAGGTCCTCATTCATGCCATATTCTTTCAAGATTTATCATATTCATCTACTCAACTATTGTTAAAGCCAATATCATAACATTTTTAAGAACATTAAATTTTTAGGGCACATTAAAGCTCAAACTGTACCTTCTTCTTTAAATTCAAACAGTTCTATCTGTTAATGCATGTACATAGATGCCTTAATTGAATGTATGGAGAGATACTTTATTTTTAACATTTCATCACTACATGAGTTCAGATACCTGGCTTTGACAACAAGAGGAGAGGCGTCCACACATTTTCCAGTGTTAAAACTCCACTTCTGTTCCAGTTTCACTTTTGTTCTGTCTCTTTCTGCAGAACTCAATCTTTGTTTGAGTGGATTAGATTTTGTATCTGTGTAACTCTCTATATCACTGTGCATCTGTTCTGTAGAGTTAGGTTTACTGGTATTGCCCATGATCTTGTTACATTTATTGTCAATAGTCCAGTTAGATTTAAAGTCAGTTATTAAGCTGGGCTTACAGACATTAGTCATACAAGTCTTACAGAAATACTGATTACCTCTCATCACACTACTGTTGATACAACGACATGCTGCCCATACTTTACTGATGGACTCTATTTTTCTTTTCTTGTCCCCATCAGTCATAACTTGATACATAGGGAGGTTTTCTCCCCTGTCTGTGGACTGCTTTAACTTAAATGATTTTCTGTGTTTTTCCATACAGTTTACTATATCAGAAAATGTATCATGTAAAATAATGTCAACCAGTTCTGATACAGTTAATTTATATTGATCTTCAATAGATCTAGCTAACATCACAGCAGAGAAAGAATCACCTCCACTCAATAAGAAATTGCTCTCCTTTGTTAAATCACAACCTCCAAGTAATTTCTAAAACAGAAAAATTCTATTTTATGTTTATATGTACGTGATGTAAAAGCTCGAACTGCAGCAATTATATTTATGTCAAGAGTGAGTACTTTTCCTTACCATCCACTCTTCTCTTACAGTGTCTTCAACTGTGGCTGAAGAATGACCATTAAATTTATCCTGGCTGTTCAGATACTGGGACAATAAAGCATGGAAGTCACATTTACCTGTTAAATTTACATGTTTAAATCAGGCATATTGTTGCTAGAAATAATTGTAACATACAGTATTTTACAGCCTTACTCTTACCATGTTTTGTAATGGGAATCTCCTGAATGGGAATGATGTTGTCTGGGGTATATTGCCTAGGCAGCATTCTCCCTATAACTAACTGTAGATGGTCCTTAATTGTATGTGTTTTCTGCTGTGGAACTACAAAAACTATCAGTCTTCCTTCATGCATCACTGCTTTACATTCAGAAATGGCCGGGTCTGCTAGTGCTACCTGAAATAAGTACAGAATGATTGCTAGTAACTTGTGTTCACAATGTTGTTCTGTTAGGACTAGGAGAAGAAATAAAGGCTGCTTCATAATAACTGACCTTCTCAATTTCCATCAGGTTAAGTCGGCAGCCATTCCTCTTGACCTGTCTGTCTTGTCTGCCAACATACGTAATTCTGCCTCGGCCGTCAATTCTTACTAAATCACCTGAATCTCGGAAGTTCTGACCAGATTCCATTGTCTCACCATCTATGATACACTGTCTGTCTTGACCCCCTGTAATGTAAAAAAAAATTATTTAGTCTTCTCCCTCAGTTTCCTGTGTATAATATAGTCATCAACAACGTCACCTCAATAATGTTGACTCTCTTTCTTTATAGTACGTAAATATTCACAAATACATGTATATACCGGTACAAAAGAATGGATTAGTTAGTCTGGCAGATGTACAATGCAGTAGTTTGTACCTAAGTATAACTTTCCTGCTCCCTCTACCACCTCCAATCCTTCTTCATTCAGGACCCTGTAACTGGACTGTGACAATGGTTTACCAAGGGGAACTTCTTCATCACTATTCCTGAAAAAGAATTATGTACTATAAAGATTTGAACAAATACCTCACCTATTTCAACAATAATATAGTACATACGACATGCCAGGTGTACTAATTATTTTTACCAGAACTCCTGGTCCTCCACATAGTGACACATTGACCAGCAGGAGACCTCGGTGATTCCATACAAATTGATAAAGCGAGTCCGATTGCCTGGAGCTCGCCACTCACGAATCTTACTCAGGGGAGGGAACTCCTCTCCACCCAAGGCAAGAATCCTCAGACTGGATGATGAACTCAAGATGGAATCTCTCACATCAGCAGCAGGTTGTCTTTGTATCAAGGAGGGTGTTGCCTTAATGACATAAATACATTCTCTACCAATATTCATCCATTGCAATGCTATTATGGTCTAAGATACCGGGTATACCAATGCACATATTACATGTATTATAATTCTTGATTGGTTATAACTGTAATATTCAGAAGAATAACCTGTAGGACTGTAACTTTATTCCTCCTATAAATTACAGACAGTAATTTCTTGGACTGGGCTTTAACATGATCTGGTACAATCAAAAGACTGGCTCCACTTGTCAAGGTCACAAAAATTTCCACAATGCTGGGGTCAAAAGTCAAAGGTGAACACAGTAATACCACATCATTACTCTTCATATCATAAATACTCCTGAAAATTGAGATCTATTTTCAAAACTTTTGTCTAATTACACAATGACAATACAATGTTGGTCAATAAAATATGTCCAATGTTGTGTATGATGGGTTCAATACTTGGTTACACATTTTGAATATATGCATGTCTACCAGTAAATAATTCTATGCACACTTTTGATTTTGTATTAGAAACAATATGCCAGTATAGTGTGCTTTTAGTATACAAAGAATAATTTACTGTAGGAAGAAGATCCTATACAGTAGGGTGTGAATTTCCAGCCCTATAAGGATTCTGTTTACCTGATATCTGTGATGTTTGGTATAATACACCTGTGTGGGACTTGTACTAGCTTAGGTTGCCCTGCAGAACCAGATGTCGTAATACAATAAGCTATATTAGGAATTCCTTCTTTTTTCTCACTTCTTTGTTGAATTTTGAGGAGAACTAATCCTAGAGATGATAAAAGTGAGTTTGTAGTCACCTCTCCACCAAACTTCTGTATCAGTCTCTCTATGACCTGCAGTTAAAAGACATTTGAAGTCATTATATGACTGCTTTGTGTGATAAAAAACAATTTATCAGTTAACTTTGCTTTTCATTTGTATCTGTGTTGATGAAATAAATTTATCAAACACTCACCTGTGTATCATCATTCTGGACAAGAATTTTACTGACATTCATCCTTGGGAAAAATGCTGTGGCACCATCTACACCATACTTGTCAAAATTAAAGAAAGCGTGACCACTCTGGACTACTCTGAAAACAGATTTATGAATTTCAAACTACAGGTGTATATCATTCTTTTTAAATACAAACACCCCAAAAACTAAGAATGAATATGATGGGTGGGATTCTGAACATTTTACATATTAATTCCTTGATGGACCAGTCTGTCATAAAATTTTGCTTTTTATACCAGGTGTCTTTTATGACTTACCCAAAGAGGATAGCCGGAGTAAAGAGGTCAGTTTTTCTACATACAGCTATTACCGAGTTATGAACCATATCCTTGTTTAAAGCACCAGATACCTGAAAAATGTTGGCAAATGCAAGCATTCTAAGGCAATCTTTATTCTTTGCTGACTTGCTATGACCAAGATAAATTGACTAATCATTGATAAAATATCTTTCTTACTTTCATCTGCAATTTCCTAAGGATATGTGGCAAATGCAAATAATTTCAAAATAATTTTTATGATTAGCTAACTTGTTGTATCATCAGATAAATTGGGTATTTTTCTTACTTTATCTGCTATACTGTATAACTGTCTGTATGTTTGTAACTGCTTTATGTGGAAGTCATCATACATGACAGCCACAGCATCCAGCCATTCTGTCTCATTCCTTCCCAAAACTTGTAATAGAGTTGACATAACGGAATAAAGTTTTCAACAGAAAATCCCAAAAAGAAATAATCATATAGGTGGCAACAATGTTTTTGTTTTTAGAACATGACTGTGTATGGAAGAAAAAAAATAACACTACAATGTTTACATTTTGCGTACAAGTTATTAAATCCAAACAAAGAGTGTGACTAAAATGGGTAGCGAAACCCGGGCCGGGCCGGGAATTTCAAAACTGAGAGCCGGGTTTTTGATAATTACGAGATAAATACTTATTCTTTCTTCGTGAAATTTACAGACATAGTTTATAAGTATAGGTTTTGCCTTCGCTGAGAATTTTAAGTCAAAATGTTTTGTTTTTCGATGATTATCGCCGATTGTCCTTTTCCTGGTGACTAAAATGGGTAGCGAGCCCGGTTTACTCATTTTGACGATTTTAAGCTTAATGCATCGAAAGTGTTTGTGATATTTGCATTTAATTAATGGTTGTTTTTTAACTTCAAATAGTTAAATTGTTCAATCATTATGAAATTAAATGTCAATTATTAGGGTTTTTGTCATTTTTCATAGACCCGGGACAGGTCAAAACCGGATGCGTTTGCCCGGGACAAATTAATAATTCCGGATTGCCAGAGAAAGAATGTAGATTTTTTTTCAGTCTCTGACCGAGATACATCTAAGAAATAAATTGGAAAAAATTAATAAAAATATGCAAATCAAAAAAGAGTCATTTATATTTCAATTATATGTCATTATCTGATGAGTATTTCGGAAATAAAAGGTTTTTCCCGGGTGAACATGTCCGGTTTCGACCAATCCCGGATGTTCAAAAAATGCGTATATTTTCAATAATCGTGATTTATTACTGCAACAGTTAAATGTTTTAGGTAGTTTAAGTTCAATTTCAAAGATCCAAATGAAATAATTGTAAATATGCTGCCGAAATTAAGTTTAAATCGCCAAAATGAGTAATCCGGGCTCGCTACCCATTTTAGTCACTTGGAAAAAGACAATCGGTGATAATCATTAAAAAACACAACATTTTGACCTAAAACTTTCAGCGAAGGCCAATCTTAGAATATTAAACTATGTCCGTAAATTTCATAAAGAAAGAATGAGTATTTATTTCGTGATTATCAAAAACCCGGTTTTCGTTATCGAAAATCCCGGCCCGGCCCAGGTTTCGCTACCCATTTTAGTCACACTCCCAAACAAAAGAATGTTGATCCCGATTTTAAAACAAATAACGGCTTGAACTAAATGTTTTTTGGTTTATTTTTTTTTTTACAATAGTATTGAATAAACAGAACAAAGAAGTAATTCAGATAATGTTTATAAAATTAAGTAACAACGGTCACAGTCTGAAATTAACACTCAAAAATTATAAATAATCAATGTACGTCTTGTCAATTCATTCAATTTCACTTCCGGTTTGGGTAGACAACCTAAAGTGATTTTGGGTAAACCCCAGAGAAATGATATGTTATGTTCATGAAGAATAGTTAATATTGAAAGGTTTGTTATATTTTAACCAACAGGTAAACTTTAACTGTACAAAATGCATTGCTTATTCGCTTCGTGTGGTAATTTATCGAGGAAATTCGGATTTATTCACTGTGTTATAAAAAAAGTCGATTTCTAAGTTATATATATTTCTATAGCCTTTAAAAGATTTAATCTTCATTTACCTATGTCAACTCACTGATTTATGAACCTGGTCCCAGGAATGAGAAGATCATGGAGCATGTGAAACAGACTTTCATTAATTTTCTATGAGTCAATTTTATTTTTAGTTAATATAATTAATGAGTGAGTTCTACCACTACATTGCACTAATACCCTTTAAGGGGAGTTGAATATTTTCTGATTATCTGTGTTAATTGCTTTGGATAAACTAACAACTGAAAATTATTTTTTCAGCAACATGGCCACCAAAGTTGTAGCGAATCCTGAGATGGATATTTTGAAAGATGAACGTGAGGGTAGACTTCGTGAGGTTGGAAATCAGGCTGTGTGGTCACTGTCCTCTTGTAAACCTGGTAGGCTGCATCAAATTCAGCTTCTTCAAATTCAGCTTCTGTGTAAAAATCCTGACAAACACTAGGTCATGAATGACTTATGTAAACACACTTGCAGCAAGAAGACTTTAATTTGTTTAAGATGGTATATCGTAAGTTTAAAAGTTTACTTTGGTTGCAAAGATATCAAAGTATTTATTTCTGTAATCATTCACTTTGCGTTTAGAAGAAAATTATTTAGTCTTGGAAGTACAATGTATTCACATGTATTCATTGGTCAAAGGCCAAGTACAGGCGTATTATACATTTAAGGCTATCTCTATAAATACCTGTGTGTAATAATAAAGTCGTAAATTGTCCCTAGGTTTTGGTGTAGAGCAGCTACTGGATAATACAGTGGACACATACTGGCAGTCCGATGGACCACAACCACACCTGGTCAACATCCAGTTCAGGAGGAAGACCACCATCCATGATGTGTGTATCTACACCGATTATAAAGCTGACGAGAGCTACACACCTAACAGGTATGCATCCATGATGTGTGTATCTACACAGATTATAAAGCTGATGAGAGCTACACACCTAACAGGTATGCATCCATGATGTGTGTATATCTACACTGATTACAAAACTGACGAGAGCTACACACCTAACAGGTATACATCAACGCCACAGCATGATACGCCTGTCAAAAAATTACAATTACAATGTATCTTAAACAGTTAAAAGTGCAGGAAAATCATGTCAACCTTGATTTTAAGATTTCAATTGATTTTTACACACCTTAAAAATTTGTTTATCCATCTCCTGTGGTGTAGGCATTAATTATAACAAATATTGCATCATTCATAGATTTCTATACCTTGCCAAGATTTAATGTCAGACATTTAATTGTTAATATGCAATTCATATGGACATGCAGATTCCACCCCTACCCCCATAAAATTAATTTTTAAGTTCATAATATTATGTAATATCAAAATAGTTTAATATGCAATATAAAATTAGTTTTAATTACTTCTCATCAAATTCATTTTAAAACTTTGGCTAGCCAACAAGAGCTTGTTTTAATCCAACAGGCTTACCCATTTGGCCCAATACTCAAGGGATATAGATAGCACCGATGCTCTTACAGCTACTCCTCGCACTAAAATCATTAATTTTTCTCTCTAATTTGACATGCAATTTTCTGTTATCAAAATTCTTCTTGACCAGTGCTTGATGATTAGACTCATGGGAGTGGTGGAATTTCTCTAACATACATTATATTTGTTATAGATTGCTGTCAAGTATATGCTAAAAAAAAAATAAGTATTTTCTTGATTTAACATTTTTCTAATAAGGTTAGTGCAATAGTTTTACATTTTTTTGAATGTGTAAATGAATAGAAAGTAAAACATTTTTTTTTTAAATTCCACTTAAATTAAAGGTCACAGTGACCTTGAAATAGGTCGCGACACACCTTCTACCTAAGATGCATAAACTGGCCAAGTTTGATGATTCTAAGTCTAATAGTTTTCTAGTTATGGACCGGACAGGATTTTTCCATATTTGGCTATAACTTTTTAATTATAGGTCAGAGCGACCTACTTTTTATGCGCGACACCCCTTCTACCCAAGATGTATCAGCTGACAAAGTTTGATTACTCTAGGCCTTATAGTATTAAAGTTATGAGCCGGACACGAGAAAAGCTAACAGACGGACGGACACAAAGCCTATAACATAATATGTCCCGTCTTAAGACGGGCGTATAATTAAAAAGCTGATGAGAGCTAGTACACACCTATAACAGGTATATATCCACAATGTGTGTATCTACAAACTCAGATTATAAAGCTGACAAAAGCTACACACCGAACAGGCATACATCCACATGTGTGTATCTACACAGATTATAAAGCTGACAAAAGCTACACAACCAATAGGTATAAAAAATAACTGATGTACAATACAGCTTCATACTAGTAGGCTACAGAAATCTCAGTTCTATCCAAATTACAAATTTATCTATAACAACCACAAAACTCTGCTTAACATTTAAAATGTATCACTACTCAGTATCAAAATTATACACCTAATAGGTATCAAAACTACAACCTGGTCAATTTCAAAACTGCACATCTCAAAGATTTTAAAACTGCACACTTCATAAAAACAAAGTTTTCACATCTTTATAGATATCAAAACTACACACCTCTTCGATTTCACAGTTACCACATTAAATATTAAATCTAGACAGGTATCACAACCACACACCTTTTTGATACTGAAACTGCACACCTCATACATATCAAAACTGCACATTTTATGGATATCAAAACTACAGTCACATCTTGTAGTTGTCACAGCTACACACCTCAGTGATACACATATATTATACATTGTGATTTAATATTCGCAATTTTTTTTATTAAAACATTCATGGAAATTCCAGCTTGTCCCTGAAAACCTGTATAGCTTTTACAGAAAAATTTATTGTTTCTGCATTTTTTCTTCATTTACCAGTACATGAATTGAAATTCACAATGTACGAGGGTTGTTCGAAAAGTTTGTGGACTCCTGTCATATCTTTTTTATCATGTTTATTTAACGCCATATGTTAAACAAATTTGGTAGAGATATTTTAGCAATAAATCCATATGATTTCTATTAAAAAAAAATTAAATTATCATGATTTATTTTAAACCTATCCAGAATTTAAAACTGCAAAACCGGACAGCGGAGCAGGTAAAAATTTAGTGCTTAACAAACAACACACAAAATAAATATGACAATAGTCATATTCTCTGTAAAATGGAGGAAAAACAGAAAAAATCATAGACATTTAAATTAACAACTGTTATATTGATTCATATTCCAAATTATGGTGTAATATTTTGATTTGTTGAAAAGGAATCAATTTGGGAAGATAGGTAGTTCTTATTGAAAGCGACAAAAATGATGACATTGTTGAATGTCATGGAGCAGCAGATATCGATACCATTTTGTGATATACTAGGGGAAAATCCTGAATAAACT